GTCGAATTAGCAACAAAAACCTATATTTGTGATAAGATCGTTTTCTTTTTTATACACCATTTAAATCTAATTTTAACACGCTTTATCACTAACTTCTTATGCTGAGAGGCTACTTTATTTTGCCAATAGAGAGATTTAGCACTTTCACGTGACATCCTGCACGTCACGTATTTAAACTATACGCCAGCTGTTGAGAATCGATATTTTTGTGCCGGACAGTTCACGTAGCGATGTATACCATACGCAGCGCAATTACTAGAGAACAATCTCGGCTCTCAGCAGAGCTTATTAGAGAGAGATTTAGAATTTTCTTGTTAGGTAGTATCTGGCAAACTCGCGTATGTTCTATGCTACGTATTTCTACGGAACAACATTGTTTCTCGTGCAGAGTTCGAGCAGAACTTATGTACGTCGACGTGCGAGATACTACGTATAAAGTACTAAATCTTTCTACTCTAGTAGAGAAATTTGTAGACTAGTAGAATCTACCCTCTCAAATTTTTCCTTATCGTTTTTTAGAAGACTTTGTTTTAATATGAAATAACGTTTTTTTAGCGAATAATTTGTTATTTTCATAACTTCTGTGAGTTTACAACAGTTACTAAATCGTTTGCAGTTGGTACTACTTTATCATGCGCATTTGGCGATATTTTGTCTTTCGTCAATTTAGGCTTCTTGAAGTCAAAACCGCTAACAGCCATCGAAATTCTCTGTTCACTTCCTACCTCACTTCTCATAAATGACATCAGACCATCAAGTCTATCTTTCGGAGTGTCGCCAATTTTCGACTGTCTTTGCCACACTCTAAGAAGCTCCTCAGGATACATGACTCCACTACAATGAACTGAATACATGACTCCACTAACGGGAATAAAATTGCATCATACATTTTAGTGGTTATACCTAATAATTCTAAAGCCCTTAATTGTGATTCTATTATCTAAAGTGAAAAAACCATTTGTGATTTTGTATGACTAAAGATAGAAGTTCTCTAATGTAAAACTCAACTAAAACATCATCTTTGCCAAATCGAGATGTGAAGCTTTCTATGACGTTTGAATAATTTTCGGCTGTTGCCGGATAACTTAAAACAAGTTCTCTAGCACGAGAATTGTCAACCGTACACTGTATAAGATACTGAAATTTATCACCAGGATCTAGAGATAAATCTTCATCTATTTTTTTAAACAATGACCAAAATGATAACCAGCCTTTTATACTACCGTCATATTTGGCAAGCTCTATTTTAGGAAGTTTGAATTTACGCTTCGGCTGTTCTAAGTTTATCGATGAATTTTCTTCATTAAGCTCTTTAAAATATTCATCAAAAATTGTTTCAACTTCATAATAAAAATTACAATAATCATAAATTGACTTACTTTCATTTTCAATTTCTTCTTCTGTAATATCATCGGACTGCAGCATAAGTTCCAATAATTCGTTATCCAACTTTTGAAGTTCTTTCTTTATTTTCAACGTTTTAAATTTAGCTTTAACGTGTACCAAATTTTTGATTTCGGCTGATTTCATTTCATTTAAAATCTGATTACTTAACCGAGTGAAGGAGCTTCGAACAATCTTTCGTTGTTTTTGAATTTTATCCATCGTATTATTGAAAATACTTCATATGCAAGTTCGGATTACTTCTTAATATCACGTCAGGGTCACCAAAATGTTACGAGACTCAATCAGAAAGTAAAATATTCTGTCGTTCTCTACTTCTAATCTAAATAATAAATCTGACTCCAACTTTTAGTAAAAAAGAACAATATTTTATTAGTATATAATTTTCAGACGATTATTTCTTGTTCCACGAAAAGACGAATGAAAACGTTGCCATGACAACTCGGCAGTTTTAACAGAAAACAAAAGTTAGCTTTTAGCTTACATAAAAAGTAATTACCAACTTTTAACCAAGTTAAGCCTATCAACGTCAATGTGGTGAAAAGTCTCAGTTTTGATAGTCTTAACATTTAACAGTCTATTTTTTGACATTTAAAAACTTAATCCAATACTGCATAATCTGATATAATAAAAATTTGCTAAAAAAAAGAGAATAATGCTGCGATTTTGATAATTTTCGTCTAGGTGGGAAAATATCGCCTAATTAGTGATTTTTGAAACTGTATGATAACTTTTAAAGTGTTTAAGTTATTTATCATTTCTAAAGACCACAGATAATTCTTCACAACAAGTTGATATATACATCGAAGAGTCATTGCATTATGACCACCCTGCTAATAACATGTAGGACCACCTTTAGCCCTCAAAAAACTGCTAGCACCCGCCGTGGCATTGATTCCACAAGGTGCTGGTCTGAGGTATCTGGTATCAAGCACTCACCAACTGGGGGTAGCGTGGCAGCACGAATTTGGTTTTCCAAGTAGGACCACAAATGCTCTATTGGATTAAGGTCAAGTGAATTTGGGGGACAAGACATGACTTGAAAGTCACTGGAATGTTCCTCGAACATTCCAGTGACCGTTCGACGGTTCCATGTCGATTCGACCCTTATGACATGGTGCATTATCCTATTGGTAAACACCATCCCCCGCAGGAAAAACTGTTGCCATGAATGGGTGAACCTGGTCTGCAACTATGTTCAAGTAGCTTACAGATGTCGGGGATTGTTCTATGAGGATTATGAGTCCTAATGTGCCCCATGAAAACATTGTTCCTGGGCGAGTAACCATGAAAACCTGGGCGAGCCCATCGTTATAGATGGAGGGTGGTCATAATGTAATGAATCTTCGGTAAAAGCGTAAGGCACTTAAACTATGGCTCTTTTATTTTCCTTGGCTATAAAGCTTCGAAAAACCATCTTAAGTGGTATCAAGAAGTCAACCGTCAGAATAGATGCAAAATATCAACATACTTGGTAACCTTTTGTCTTTGGTGCATCATAAATTCTTCTTGGAGTAGACTATGAAATGTTGAAAGGTCGTTTAGGACAGGAATCATGCTTGACGAATAGCATTCTTCAATAGTATGAGACTCGATGGTTGAGGTTCTAAATGTCGAATGGCTCTTACACCTTCATCGCAGAAATGCTGCATAAGATTGAGATGTGGAGATGATAGGGGCATATGAAACAAAATGAAATCTCCACTGTACCCTACTATACTATAAATGTAATCCCCACACCCAAACCAACCAATCCTTTACAAGATCCTCACATGATTATACACACTCAATAAGATGCGTCCAGCAAGTATGGCAGGAAGCATCTTATTGAATGTGCCGTTGCCGACTCAGGGGATAGAGCTTTCGCTTTCCAATGGCGTGAGACGGGTTCGAATCTTAGCGTGGTCCATTATTGATACGAACTCCGCACCCGACTCGTACCGACCACAGTGCTGCCGTAAAATATCCTCTGTGGTAGACTGATAGTAGGTAAAAATCCCCTTGTCATTGGGTCTTACCGTGGGAAGTTTCGTAGTTTTCCCCTCCATGTAATGCAAATATGGGTTTGTTTCGTCAATAAGAAGTTCTTTTCGTCCGCCACGAAGGCAAATTTCTCCCAATACTTGATCCGGGAGTCCCCTTGTCTTCTGGATTGGGTTCAAAATTACAGGGCTACGAAGTCGTAAACCCAAAAAATTGGGCAGACTGCTCAACGACGGTAATAATATCTATTAGCAAAATTAATTGTATATCATTGGCCTGGTAACTTTTTACGCTTTTCCAAAACGAATTAGAACCATTTCTCCATTAATGTTGCTTTTTAGTATAATGCTTCTAGCCTTATTTTAATTAGTACCAATCGCTAAACTTAAGCTTCAGAAACAGTTGGCGAGTTTTTACTTTTCTCCAAACCGAAACGAATTAGTATTGTTTCTCCTTTAAGTTGGCATTTTAGTACGTAGCTTTTTCTTTGTTTTAATCAGAAAATATTAGCGAAATTAATAGACATTAATAATAGTGTGACGATTTACTACGTTTCTCCTAAATAAATTAGCATAATTGCTCCATTAATTTTGCTCTTTAGTACGTAGTAATAAAAAGCAAATAATTTTTTATGTTTATACACATTCTAAAAATGCTTTTTATAAACGTCAAAAATATCATTTACTACTTTCACTTCATTAAGTTCTCCGATTGTGTTTGAGTACCAAACATGTGAAGTTTGTATAGTAATTTTTTGACGTTGAATAAATTCCCCTCGGGTCATAATTGGTAATGATTTTTACCAGACATTTTTTCGACTTCTTTACATTGATAATAATTGTAGCAAAATCAAAATGATTACAAAAAATTCTTTTTTTACAGGGCATGTACAAAAACCACATTTCAACAGTGTCCAACTACATTTGCATTTTCGTATTTTTAATCATAAATTAAATATTAAATAAACAAACCCAAGAAACTGAGAGGATAAAAATATACATGATAATATAAAATCTTTATAATTTACTTAAGTTATAAAGTGGAAAAAGTCTACATTTTTCGAGCACTCAAAAATAAGTGCCATTCTAAAGACTCGCCAGACTTGAATGAAAAAAACGAAAAGAGATTTGAAACAAAAAACGTAAACTTGCCAACAATCATGTTTCATTCTGTGCATGTCAATTTATTTGTAAACGACATGGGTTCTTCACGACATCCATAAAGCGTGGAAGTGCATTCGGCCCTGATTTCCCTCTCTTAACCACTGTATTTTCTGCTTCAATCTCAGCTACTGCGGATTTCCTAAATTTGTTTTTAATCTTTATTTTATGCTTTTTTATTGGTAACCTTACGTTCTCTGTTTAAAATCTCTTTTGTTTTCTTAATCACGTCTGGCGAGTCTTTAGAATGGGCGCCTATTTTTGAGCGCTCGAAGCATATTTACTTTTATTATAACTTTTGAAGCCAATGGTGTTTTTATATTATCAAGCATTAATGAAAGATATAGATTCAAATTTTAGAAAATTTAAAGATATGTATATAAGTTGTTTGCACATTTGTTACTGTTTATCGATTCCTGTATATCGATTAATCTTTTTCATTTGTCCTACTAGTTATCGATTGCGAGGTTTCTGGTTGGGGACACTGGTCCGATTGCAGCTCGAATTGTGGTGCCGGACAAATGGTTCGAGAAAGGTCTATCCTGAGAGCACCAAGAAATGGTGGCACTCCATGTCCTGACCAAATGCAGACCAGAGGGTGCTATGGTAACCGCTGTGAAGTTAAATCCATTGCTAAAGCTAAGAGGGGTGAGTAAACTATCGTTTCATCAACTAGTATAATTCAATGAGTTTTCTTAAGGTCACACTACTACTACTTTTGAAATTTTTAATAATTTTCTTTATTTTCAATTTAAGATATTTTTTTGTTACCTGAATTTTATGCCATATATTTAAAAACTCATAATCCTAAATTTCAAATATTGATTTCTTACTTTTTACACCGTATTATTCAATTAAGTTTTAAAACTTTTAATAGAACTTGTAAAGTGTATTTAAAAACAAAAAAAAGCGCTATCAAAATCTAATGAATGACTACTAAGAAGGATGGGACCGAGACCATCAAAACCTGTTTTGTCACTGGAGAAAACAAAGAAATAGAAAGATCTCACTTTCTTCAGTAGTGATTCCTTAAATTTCCATCGTATTTTTGCAGTTAAACTTAGAATTACGCATGTAGCTAACCAGTGTATTTATACACCGATGTTTATTCCTACCATAAATATCTAATTCTAAATAATTAAACTTGTTTTAATACTAAAAGGAAACAATAAAATTTTAAAATCTTAAATAGATATATCTTCCTTGAAAAAAACGCGCTAAAAAGCAGCAGAAATTTCAAAAAAAGAATAAAAGTAGCAATAAAGGAAACGAAGGAAATAAAAATAAAACTATGACCACCGAAGCAGACGTCTTCAGGGGGTACCGGCCCCGGTAGCCATAAAACAAAACCATTTCTATTAAGGGAGAAGCAAATGCCTGAATTAACTCCCTCAGTACCCAGATGGTTTTGTATAGAAGTTCAGGAAAAAAATATGAAATACATTGGTTAGAAATAAATTGGTGTTATACATGAAAAATTGGTGTTGCTAAATTTGTTTTAATATATTTTTATTCGATGCCTTTTTTTTTCTTCATTTCCAGCAAGCTTATATGTTAGGCTAAAACATACCAGGGCTAAAAACTAAACTCTAGAAAAAGCGATGAAAAATTAAGAGCTATTGCAAAGTATAAAAAGCACTATTTTGAAACAGTTCTCTTTAAAAATCTGCGTAAACCTGTTTCATCCATATGAAACAAAGCGCAAAATGAAATGATCAAGCGCTTATGAAATCTCTTACTCAATTTTGTGAAATTAGATATCCTATAAACATGTGCATGGTGTCAATTTCTAAAATCTAAATGAGCCATGAAACAGAACTTTCCACACGGGGTCGTCGTCCTTTCATTCCACAGAAACCCCCAACTGATGCCACAAAATTTCAATGAATAATATTTCCTTTTTCATAACGCTTTTCTTCGCTGTATGTGCTTGCTTAATGATTTAAACGTGTCGTTGAATACAAGGTTGTTTTCGTTAGTCTTAATTACTGCCGGCATGATGCTAACTAAATTAATCCTCGCAGAAAACGAAATATTTTAATTAAAATTTTCTGCATTTAGAATTAATCAAGTCTAGAGGTTTCTAAGAATTGTTTTGTAATTTTAAATTTATCTTACACAAACGCATAATTTCTCACATAATACATCCATCAACAAAATCTATACTAATAATAATAAAAAGGTGCACGCGTGTATGTCTTTAACTCCAGAACAATTTTTGTTAGGGTTTTGAAATATGAATACTAAGTGAAAGGGGCAATTTTAGCCCCAGATCCTAAAAATCGTTTTAAAATTTTTGTTAGTCCGTTTCGGAGGGATGTTTCAAAAATGAGATTTTGTTATTGATTTAAAATAAACATGGTTATAAATTAAAACGATTTTTTTAACATAGGGTTATTCATAATCGAAACGTTATAGTAAAAAAAACGAAGACGAATATGGCGAAAAAGAACATATGAAATTATTCCGAAAGTATTCAAGTTTTAATTTAAGCAGTTGCCGGTAGATGGCAGTAACATGTACCACTGAAGCTAGTTGTAGTAAAGATAAATGGCGTTTACAGGCGGAGGGAATTATGAATAACCCTGTATATTTAACGGAAAACATCAATGATAATTGCTAGCTTAAAACTCTGTTTAATGAAAAAAGAGTTTATTATGCGCTAATGTGTCAATATTTGATTTTAATATGTCAATATTATTTGTCAGTATTATTTAATATGTCAATATAATATTTGATTTTAATATGTCAATATTTTTTTTTCTTTATTCTTTATGTCGGGTGAGTTCAAGCATCAATGTAGATAGCATGTGAAGGCTACATCTTCGAATTAGTATTTTTTAAGTTGTCTGAAACCTCATGATTATTTTGTTTATAGTAGTTATGCTTTTGGGGTTTATACTAAAGCAAATAATTTTAAATCAGCGGTATTTAAAATTTAAAAAAAAGCTGCTCACACAAAAAAAAATGATTTTAAAATGCTAAATTTGATTTTCATTTAGAACTCGTGAAACAGTATTTTTTGACTGGTGGTTATTTTATTTTGACAAATGGCTATTTTATCATATTGTAAAACTAATACAAGCTGTGAGCTTAATAAAAATGTATGAAACTACTCGAAATTAGAAATTTATAACAGGCTTGTGTAACACTAATATAACATAATCTTGTGTAACATAATGGAAATGTTAAACTAATGACGAACCTGATAAAAATACATAACACTAATCTAAGCTAATGGCTTTCGTTTTGCCTAGTGTAAAACGATAAAATATGTGTAATAATGGCATGAAACTAATTTCTATCTTAATAAAAAATATATTACCCCGCCTAAATTAATAACTTTTACTAAATCTTATATTTTATGGTGTACTAATGTGTCTATGATAATCGTAATGTAACACTAATGACTAATGCGTCATTATTATTGTAATGTAAAACTTATGACAATAATTAAAAATATATTGCACCGTTAAAAACTAATTTTAAAGGTATTCGTAAGACAAATAACTAATGTGTTAATATAACTTAAAACGTGAAACAAATGTCGATTTCAATTGAAATATTCAACACCGGTCAAAACTTTTATTAAAAACTTAACGACGCTTTATGTTTCAAAAATATTTTATACGAATTTATTTTTTTTTATAAGTTACAAAATTTGAAACATGTGTCAACACATTAAACCTGGTTCCATCCCAGTTTGTATTACACCAAGGCTGTTTTACATATTAAATAACATTTATGTGAGGAGAACTTAGCGATAAAGTAATCAATAACACTTAAAAACTAAAAGAAAAATGATACCATAAATTTTGAAACTGAAAAAAGAAACTTGACAACATTTTTTCATCTCCGAGGCAAAGTGGAGTTGGATTTCGAACCAATATGTCTTTTCCCACATCCACAACTCCACTGTCATAAATAAGATAGCGCATCATTTGATCTCTTGGGGTTGTGGTACTCGAGATAAAGAAGTCTGAAAGATGCTGAATGAAAATTCTATTTCAAAAACTTTTTTTTTGCCATCGAGGATCCCTTTCGTACCCATCTTTCTTCATCGAAATCCTTGTTCTCTTTCTTTCTCAGAGGAATCTTTGATCATCTTCAAGGTCACTAAAGAAAACAAAAGTGAGGACACACATTGGAACAAATGCTAATGTATTCTAATCAGCTGAAAATCGGCAGTCATTCCTCTCAGATCTAATAGGAGATGCAAGGTTGTTCTTTTTTCTTTCTCCAAACCTTTGCATCGTGTTACAGATGCAAAAAAAAAAAAAGAAAAGGGTTGTAATTTGTGTTCTTTGACCTCTTCTGAATTCATCTCGCTGGAGAACTGCGTCGGAAGTTTGCCAGCAATAAAAAAGGTTGTTATAATTTGAATTTATTTTTTTCCAACTTGGATACCAGGAATGACAAGGACCATACGAACTAAGTTCTTTTTGTTGGCATGCAAAATTTAGGGGGAATGGTCGATATCAGCTGCCAATTTTCTTCGCCTATGAAACCCTAAATGGTCGACCTTTTTTATTCGAAACCCCAAACCTTATTAATATAAAGACATTTGTTAAAGTATTAACCGATAAAAACTTCAATATTTTTCACTTATAAGAGGAATTATAAGTGAAAATAATGATCTCATTGGCTTTTTCATCGTTTTATCATTTATAAGGGTTTCATAACCGATAGTTGAATTCGCACTCCTTATAGTTTAGTTCGGAATTTCTTTCTGGGAATATACGTAAGCTGAAAATAAAATAAACTGAATTACGGTCTTCGTAGAATTGAAAGCTAAAAAGTACTGTCAAAAATGGCTATTAGAGAAAGATATTGCTTTATTAGAGAATTTAGTCATTTTATTTTGATTTAACTCTAGATTGCCCAAGTAAGTCATTATGACTGCTTTTTAATTTCAATTAGAAAAATAATGATGCATATAATGACTCAATTTCTTAGAATTTTGTGACTTTCTGAACAACATATAATTTTTTTATTGTTAATATTTACTAACAACTTGCTATATAGCTGAAAATAATATAAAAAATATTAAAAAATAATTTTAAACAAATTTCTTTGTAGATTAGTTATTCTTACACAATGCAGTCATTTTGACTGCTTTTAGGCAATATAGGTACATACCAAGTTTCAGTCTTTTTAGTGTTAAGAAGAGTGATGGAAATACTAATGCAACTTTTATAAATGCATGCGCTTTTCATAGTTTAATTGAGATATTATTGTAAGAAAAATTAAAAAATTTTAAAAATAAATTCGTGCATGTCTTTTTGATATTTTACTCAAAATAATTTCGTACATACTATCAAAATATTAAATAAATAAAGGATTATTGATTGGAATAGTATAAATAAAACATAAATATAGATTTCAAAAATCATTACTGGTTAAAATAAAACGTCTAACTCTCGGAACCCTTTTAATCATTCTATGGAATCCTAGGGCTCCGCGAAATACCATTTGGGAACCGCTTGTCTATATAACATTCTTAAAAGAGAAGGTTAAAGGATCTCAATAAATATAAATCAAATATTGAACAAATTTTATTTCCAGTAATACTTGATATCCCTTCAAATATGTCGCTAATATAATTTAGAATTAAAAAAATAATAATAAATAAATAAAGTTTAGGTCTATACTGAACTAAGTGATTCGCGGCGTCACAAAGAACACACGTTAACAAAAAGTTACGTCTTCTCAAAGAAAAATTTCATCGACTTTCAGTAAAACTATGTATGCATTCATTTAAATATGTCGCACACATAATTTGTTCATTAGAAGAATTTTTTTCTTTTTGAAAAGAGATGTTAAATACAATATATTTACGTCGATAATTATATTATTTGATCCACCTGAAATAAATAAATGAATAAGCAAATTTTCAAACATATAAATGCAGCTCGACATGAATGTAACATTAATAAGTTTTTTTTTTAAATTCATTAAAACGCGGCATTTAAGTACCTTATTTAAGTCAAGCATTATCAGGCAGATAAAAAAATGGCTCGCAACATCGTGTTTAATTAAGTCGAGCATTATTAGGCAGATAAAAAAATGGCTCACAACATAGTGTTTAATTAAGTCGAGCATTATTAGGCAGATAAAAAATTGGCTCACAACATAGTGTTTAATTATGTCGAGCATTATTAGGTAAATAATATGTAAAAGTAGAGGGACTCATAACACGGAGTTAAGACATTTTGTTTAAAACAGAGCATCTCCAAAAGATAAAGTACACGGATGAGAGCTGGTTTTTAAGAAATTTTATTACGCTGGATATTTGTGAAGAACTTAAAATTTAACTTTGGACAATTGTTGAGGACTTAAGTATTTCAATTGCAAAGAAGTCTACCTCCTAAAAATATTAGCACAAATGGATAAACTAAGAAAAGAATGGAGCTTATTTGTAAATGCTTGAGAAGACGTTCCCTGGTTAAACTGTGTATGCACATGCATTTTATATTAAAAATGTTCAAAAAATAGAAGAGCTTGTTTCAAGTAGCTTCAAAGGTTAGATGCTTGAAAAAAAAAACTGGTTTCGAAATCTCCAATTCAAATTAATACTGGTTCCATTTTTTTCTCTCACTGGCTAAGAAATTTCTAGCGTGATTTCAAAATGTCCATTATGGCTTCATATGAGGTTTTAAAATTCCAGTTTGTTTATACGAGTTCCAGTATCATTTTGATACGGGCTTTTTGAACTTTTTCCATTTGGATACCATATATGTATGCCTGTTGTTACAACAAAACCTTCACCTAGGATATGTTCCCATACACCTATGATACTACAATATTATTGCCATACATATGAGGAACACTACCATATGAATGACATATACGTAACCCTTTACTTTCCATATGTGCATGGTACTTCTCCATAAGCTTACCATAATTATCATCATAAATAGTGTGTCCCCATAATGTCATGTGTATGGTATATTGCCGTGAAAATTGCTATGGTTTCAGTAGGTTTATCTATTGCAAAGCGGAAATTAATTCAATACAAATGAAATATTACTTTATTGAATATAAACTGAAGATTAGAAGAGATATTTCTTTTTTTATCAACTTAAACGGCAAGTATGACAGAACAAAATAATTAGGGAATGATTCACTGTAATGAATAAAACTGATACTAATATTCCAAATGGTAATTAAATTTCATTAAATTAAATTAAATTTCAGAATTAAATTTAATTAAATTTCAAAATATTATCCCAATTAAATTTCAGAATATTTTCTTCCTTATAATATTAAAAAATAATATTTTCTTAATTAACATACCATAACTAAGAGTAGTGGCTCTAATACTTTTTTTTGTTTCGTCTCCATAGGTGGTATTTAAAAATATAATTATTTTTTCTTTCAGAGGTAGCTTTGCTTTTGCCTGGAAAATTCTCACAAGCACGAGCTATCAACGACAGTGCAGATATAAGGAAAAACCTAAGGCTGAAGTACCCAAAAAATCCCGCCAAAGAAGGTAGTAAAGAGTAAGTGAGTTTTGCTGACAAAATAAAATTAGTGATAGAAGTTATATTTTTTAAAATCACTCCTAGCTTATCACTATTAAATTAAAGTGTTTTGAAAACAAACTTTTAATTTTAATACAAAATATTTTCCAACTCTGCGTCGACAGTATTTTTTATGGTACCTTTTTATCAAAATAAAACTTCCTATGAAATAAGACATTTCGAATTTGATTGGTGCATTTCACGCAAAGCGAGCAAATCATATTCTGAAGTTTTTAAAAATTGTGAGCTGTATTATTCTTAAAATTTTGACTTTTTTTCATTATAGGTTGTTTTTCTGATAGAAATCTTTAAAATATTGATGAAAGAATTCTTATAAAATAAAGAATAATAACATCCTGTGAAAACTAGGAACTGAATAGCTTGATAAGTCATCAAACTATTGTTTGCTTTTCAAAAGTTGAAATGAGTTTAAAGTGAGCTCCTTAAAGCTCCGTGTTGCATGACTGATCGATCCAATAATAATATTTTAAGCGCAGTAGACAGTATTATTCATACTCCGTATTCTTTCACTAGTGAAGAATAACAGGTTCGTTGGCTAATAAATGTTTTANTTTGTTTAAACGTATGGAGTGTTACCCTTTGCTTTCCATATGTGCATGGTACTTCATAATAACTATCATCATAAATAGTGTGTCCCCATAATGTCATGTGTATGGTATATTGCAGTGCAAAATACCATGAAAATTGCTATGGTTTCAATAGGTTTATCTATTGCAAAACGGAAATTAATTCAATACAAATGAAATATTACTTTATTGAATATAAACTGAAGATTAGAAGAGATATTTCTTTTTTATCAACTTAAACGGCAAGTATGACAGAACAAAATAATTAGGGAATGATCCACTGTAATGAATAAAACTGATACTAATATTCCAAATGGTACGCCCAATTAAATTTCAGAATATTTTCTTCCTTATAATATTAAAAAATAATATTTTCTTAATTAACATACTATAACATAACATACCATAACTAAGAGTAGCGGCTCTAATACTTTTTTTATTTGTTTCGTCTCCATAGGTGGTATTTAAAAATATAATTGTTTTTTCTTTCAGAGGTAGCTTTGCTTTTGCCTGGAAAATTCTCACAAGCACGAGCTATCAACGACAGTGCAGATATAAGGAAAAACCTAAGGCTGAAGTACCCAAAAAATCCCGCCAAAGAAGGCAGTAAAGAGTAAGTGAGTTTTGCTGACAAAATAAAATTAGTGATAGAAGTTATATTTTTTAAAATCACTGCTACCTTATCACTGTTAAATTAAAATGTTTTGAAAACAAACATTTAATTTTTATACAAAGTATTTTCCGACGCAGTACCGACAGTATTTTTTATGGTTCCTTTTTTTATCAAAGTAAAACTTCTTATGAAATAAGACATTTCGAATGTTTTTTTTTTTTTTTTTTTTTTTCAAATGGCAGGCATTGAACATTATTATTCGCCTAAGAAGATGCCAGAGGTGTTACTCATTTCACGTTACCCAGTGGGCACCTGTGAACCAAAGTCACGGAGGCAAGCAACATTACCCACGCCACAAACCCGTTTATAGGGTGGGCCACATTCACACATCACAGGAGAAAGAAACATCCATGTCCAGAGCGGGATTCGAACCCACAGCCATTGGCTTCGCAGTCAGGCGCACTAACTGCTCGGCCATCTGGCCGGCAGACATTTCGAATTTGATTGGTGCATTTCACGCAAAGCGAGCAAATCATATTCTGAAGTTTTTAAAAATTGTGAACTGTATTATTCTTAAAATTTTGACTTTTTTTCATTATAGGTTGTTCTTCTGATAGAAATCTTTGAAATATTGATGAAAAAATTCTTATAAAATAAAGAATAATAACATCCTGTGAAAACTAGGAACTGAATAGTTTGATAAGTCGTCGAACTATTGTTTGCTTTTCAAAAGTTGAAACGAGTTTAAAGTGAGCTCCTTAAAGCTCCGTGTCGCATGACTGATCGATCCAATAATAATTTTTTAAGCGCTGTAGACAGTATTATTCATACTCGGTATTCTTTCACTAGTGAAGAATAACAGGTTCGTTGGCTAATAAATGTTTTAGCTCATGATAAAGTTTTTAGATGCTTTCTTTCTTGTTATCTCAAATTAAAACAGATGTATAAAAATGATATGGTTCAATTATTAAGCATGAACAATTAGTAATATCAAACATTTTAAGTAATCTCAAATGATGTATCTCTCTGCGATTACAGGCCTCATATCTTTTCAGAAATTTGGCTCAAAAAAATATTCTGATCGATCTTAGGCTCGGCTGAATTAGAGCCCATCTCTAGTGCATGAAATTCGTTCTTTTCAACATTAACCCTTTCACCTATATTGCGCAAGTCATAATTCCAAACGCATTCTATTTTTTGCCTGGAGATAGAAAGAATAACAATTTATCCATAATAATTGAACTGGAATTACCCAATCCGCTTTCCTCTCAACTTCTTCAGCAAGATCACAAGGTTTCTTTTTTTTTTTTTTTTGCTATTAGAATATTTGTACCGTTAATGGTCATATTGGCCTTGAAATCGTGATTTTTCTTTTATATTTTTAATAAATCATTTAAACCTTTTTATACCATTTTTGTAACTATTATTAAGTGCAATTTTATGTTTTAAATAGAAAAATTTTGTTACTTGTAAATTATATAAGTTAAAACTACTAAGATGATTTTAAAAATAAACCTAAACACGCATTTTTTAATATTTAAAACCCTTTTAACAAATTGATCAATGAGGAACTGCAGAAAAAGGTTTGCAAAACAAAAATTATGTACAAGGTGTTCCATAATGGCCATCCTTAATATGAACTTTTTAAATTTTATTTGAAATAAAACGAATATTATACATTTAAAGGGTCTCAAACAGAATGTTACAATAAAGTTATTAAAATTTGCTTTAAAAAATATATAATTATTAAAATTTTTAACCCCTAAGTTAAGATTTAACATGTTAAATCTTAATATGCACATATTAATAACTTATTAATTGTTTTACATATTAATAACCTAATATGTAAAACAAAACTTGTCGAAACATATTGTCAAAAGAAATTGACACTAAAATTAGACTATCAGAAGAGGGTCTCATTAATTCCAGTTTGCGATAAATAATTAAGAAAAAAAGAATTAACACGTTAAAAATAGAAAGAATTTTTAAATATACGAAGGACTTTTTTTTCTTTTACGAATATATCGAAGAATGGAGCTTATTGTTTTAAGTTATAATTTAAAATAGAAGAAAAATTTAAAATTCCAAATCAATTCAGAATTTTTTTTTTATTAAATTTAATAATTCCCTTACATTCAAGCCCTATTTATAAACACAATTCCTCATTCTATTTTGTTTTTGAGAAACATTTTCGAAATATTTCAGGTACTGTGTCATGTTTGAAGTGACAAAAATCCGAAAAGCTTGCGAAAGCATCATTGCAGACAATGTTTCGACCCTACTCGTAAAAGGTGCCCACCTCTGCATCAGCTGTGAAGATGCTGCCATGCGGGGTCACTTAGGTTACAGATGCAATGGTCACGGAGTAGATGGTAAAGCAACCAGGTGGACATTCGTACCTAACCCGAGATGTAATGGTCGCTGGACAAGAGTTGAAACAAGAGACAAGTGCAAGGCCGAAAAACCAGACTTCATCTTTGTTTAAGTAATGGTCGTGATGATACGTTTCTTTTAATTATTGTACGTGGAGACAAGCTTTCTGGTGTGGTATAGCTACTTCTATAAATGTGTGCATGCATGAAGCAGACACAATAGACGCTGTGAAGTACAAAAACTGATTTTGTGCGAGTCATTAGAATCATTGATGAAAAGACGATTGCAGTTTCATAAATCCATCATCTGCCCATAAAACACTTATTAATTTTAGTATTTTATTTCAGTAGTGAAAAAAAATATTTTTCCACAAATTTCTAATTACATCAATCTTGGTTTTATTGATACTATTCAGTTTCAAATTAAGTTATGCCTATGCGTTTTTTCTCCAAGATTTAAACATACCAAATATTTTACAAAATCAGAACATACGGAATATTTTTTTTAAAACAAAATTAGAACATACCGATTTTTTTATTATTTTTTTTTTTTACAAAATCAGAACGTACGGAATATTTTTTTTTACAAGATCAGAATATACGGATTTTTTTTTAGAAAATCAGAACATACGGAACAATTTTCTTTTTTTACAAGCTCAGAACATACAGAATAATTTTTCCCGTTAACAGCATCATCAATTTTTAATTTGTTATAGCTATACCCTGTTTATTTAATATCTAAACTAGGCATGAAGTATTTTTGTTTTTTGTAAAAGACATTATACATTAATCTTGCTTTTATAGATTGAATTCCATTTCAAATTAAGTTGCGTTTCAACATTTGTTTTGTATCACATTCTAAATAATATATTGTCTGAGTCATTAGCACAATAAATATCATATCCAATATAAACTATTTGTTTTAACTAGACATGTTAGATATTGATTACTAGTGAAACTATGTTTAATATACTAAGACCAATATGTATAATAATGTTTATCACCCTTTTTTGTTATAAAATATTAAAGAACTTGTTTGTTCTTTCAAGCTATTTGACTAGTTTAATTTTGAGTCTATGTCAAAACAAAGATAGCAGTTTACGACATAAAAGCTTTAGTTATCTTTCCAATTATTGTCTGTTATTTAGACTTCTCAAGACACTATATTGTATAAACTTCCAGTAGTCCCATCCAGATTTATTTTTATCTTAGTTAAGTAAGAAAAGTAGTTTCTTCTGTTTCAGATTTAATTTACGACTCTGTTACAAACAGGTAACTTATTAAAAATAACATTTGTTTAGGAAGTTATTTTTGCTTAAAGTAAAAATAATTTGGTTAATATAAAGTTTTTGCAATAAGATAACTCGTATATTGGCTACCTCTGAAAATATCGTTGTTGCTAAACAGTTTCACTGAAAAATGAATATCAAAACATGAGAATATTTGTCATAAAGATTTCATATTCCTAAAATGTAAATATTAATTACATGAAAATAAAAAATAAACATATTGGCAGCTAGTTTTGAATATCATGTTTTTATATTTTTGAAAATGTTTTTCTATCTAGTGTTCATGTTAGAAATCTTCAGTAATTTGTCAATATGCATAAGTTAGTATCTGACGCAAATATACATTTTACAAATGTTTGTGTTTTTGATGTTCTGTACTTTTCATATTTGCAATTCTTTTATGTTAAGTCAAATGTATTTTGCATTTTAAATAAAGAAAAGCTATACAACTTAGTAAATAATTCCTACATTCAAACCATACGTAAGAAATATGGTTTCGTAGTTATGTTTAAATGCTTACTATTGATATAGATGTATATTTTTGTGACAATAAACATTTTACACAAAATATCATCAAGAGCTAATACAAATAGTTTAACATCAGTTTTATTTGCAATAAAAAATACTTTGGTACACCTGTGTATCAAGCAAAATAGAGAAATAAAGAGAAAAATCACACAAATAATACAGACGGTATAAAAGCTTTAAAGGCACTGTACATGATAATGAAAGATAATGCTTTGTTTTGCAAATGAGTTTTGCAATATCATTTAGATAATTGCTGCTTCGCTGAGAATCATAATCTAAATGAGTTTTGCAATATCATTTAGATAATTGCTGCTTCGCTGAGAATCATAAGTCATGCAATGTGCTACATAGTACTAAGCTTCCTACTTTGTAAAAGTGCTTAACTTTTCCTATTTTGCGCGATGAGTTTAAGAATCTAATTCGAGCTTATGGAGAAAAAAATATGTATAGAAATTAAAGATAGATAATTTCATATGCTTAAAAACTATCAAAAAGTGAGTACTAAAAAGAAATATACAAGCAGTACAATATATATTTTATATTTACAGTGAAAATGCACTACTAAAAATAGATTAAACCCAAAAGTGAGGTCTCAAAAATATGAGTGAGGGGTTATTTAAATATTTTGCAAGTACCTTAATGGGGGTTAGGGTTGCCTTTTATTTATTTTTGCGGACAAGGCAGGATGAGAAATATGAGCAATGCTTATGTAAGGCACTATCCCTTTACTTTAAATTTTCTTTTACAATGAAGGGGGGGGGGAGTAACACTCAGAAAATTTTTTATTCAATTTGATTTTAATTTCTAATTTTTTATGACATTTTTGGCAATATAATTCCATAAAATGGAGCTGATTATAGCCAAATAATGAAGTCAGGTAAATGATTTTAATATGTGAGAAGTGGTACACTGATCAAAATTCATCAATTCACAAAACCAAGGACATCAAAAATATCACAAATGATGTAGAGAACTTGCCTACCAAACAATTCAACAAGTCCTGTAGAGACTTTGTTTCATCTACCATCCTATTAGCCAAAGTTAGAAGTTACATCTTGTGACTACAATTCGTTTTTCAACTAAAAGAACATTTAACTGGGACATGGTAGACTAATGACAATGAGGTTGAATACTTTTTCAATGACATAGAAGTGAGCTGGTATAACAAAAACCTGGGGTCAAAATATTTTATTTTCATAACTGGGATAGAACAGCTGACCCATTTTTGAATTTACGATTGTTCAACTCTATGGCCGCCCTTGTAATTTTGAACCTAAAGCGAAAGACGAGGGAACTGGAACAAGCATTGGGAGTAACTAGCATTCGTGAAGGACTTGCCCACAAAGTATTAAATAGTTTCCAATCCCAGATGCTATTGCATGCTAAATGGCAACAGTTCCTGTTAAAACACGTTCAGCACCCTTCAGATAGTAAGCTTAGCAACTTGTTGGAGAATAATTTAAACATTTTATTATTTTTAACTGAATTTATGAAATTGGCAGTAATCTCTGGGTTATCTGAAAATGCTTAGATGTTTAATGATAAATATTATAAGAAATGAAAGTTTTTTAGTTTAAAGTATTTTCCCTTTATTTTTTCATGTACTTAAATATATTTACATACTTGAACATGCACCACTAATCGTTTTAAATGAATCTAAGAATAAAAATTTACAATATTTCTTTCATTTAGTACATAATTGCTTTTCAAGAAACTATCAAGAAAAAAAACTTTTTTTTTTCTCTGTTCTTAGTAATAACATAAAACAGAATTATATAAAAAAGAAGTAATAATTAAAAATAACAAAAGTATAAATTAACGCATAATTAATATTATACGTTAAAGTATAATTAATATTACCTTTCCTTTAACAGTTGCGAGAAGGCTTTATTGTGACCTTGATATAAAAAAATTTAATAAAATGTGATACGTCACAGTGAAGTGTCTTTTATTTATCTATGGGATGCCTGAATTGTTGCAGTGTCTGAGAAAGTGTATATTGATCAAATAAACAATTGCACAGAAAATTTTAAAAAAATTCCAAACCGTAAAATGAAGTAACCATAAAAACCATTTTACAGTTTATCAGATCTAATTTTTTGTGGTTTTTCTTAATAGAGACCTTACTTTTGAGATTAATCTCAATTACATAAATAAAAATGTTCAAGATTACAGTAAAACTAATGCAAACTATACATTGAATAAAACATAATTTTTCCTTTGATTAAGTAATATCATATAAAGTAAAAAAGGCAAATGTCAACGAGTTCAAAATTTTTATACTTTCCTTGATCATATTATTTCTGTAGAATTCTTTTTTAAGTAATAAAACCTAGTATTTTTAAAAATACATTTGAATGATTTTAAAAGTTTTAAATTTTTTTTATATAAAAATGAGCACAAATTAATGACAATTGTGCTATGTCAATCATATAAACTTATGTGATTAACATTAAATGATGTTGTGTAACATGTGATGTGCAACATTATGTAATGCTAATCATTTAACATTTAATTTTTGCAATGAAGATTAATCACAAGACATGCATAACAGGATTATGTGTTTACAAAAATTATTGGTGCGGTTAACACAAATCCTTTCTTCACAATGAAAAGATTATGGGATTAAACAACTCAAGGATTTTGGATAAAAATTTTATTTGTATGCATAACCAAAAACAAGTTATTTTTAACCAAACCTAATAACTGCAGACGCTGCTAGTTGGATTGTAATTTCTTCAAGAAGAAAAGCTTCATCAGAAAAAAAACTCAACCGCAACATCTTGTTTTATATTTGTAAAATTTAATTTTTAAGGTTAACTAGTTGTAATATGGACTTTTTTCAGAATTTAAAGTTATTCCATGGCCTTGCTTTCTATGGTCTGGTAGAAAAAAAAAACTCAATTTTTTTTTTCTACTGAGAGTGGACTAACACTTTAAAAAAGCAATTACAATCCATTACTATTATTTACCTTACCTTGTTAACAGTAACTTTCACAATCTAGTACATAAAAGTTTCATAACTAAGTACACAGACGCACACAAACTACGTAGAAATTTAGAAAGCATTATAAATCTACATACATTAATAAAGGCAGTGTTGAAAGGCAGGCTTTATTTATCCAAAAATCGCACCATCAAAAATGCAATCACTAAATAACTAATGATTGTCTTGTATCCTTAAAGACAGAAACTATGACAATCTTGTTGCATTTTTTGTAAATTAAAAGGAAAAAAACCTGATTATGCTACAGTTTAAGCACATCAAATTTAAAATATATAAAAACAAATTAACATGAAAATCACAAAATTAAATAGGGTACAACTGGTATAAGCTTGGTGCTTACAGTCAGTAATCCTAGTCTTAATCTCAGATTTAAACTTGATTGACTTAAGCCATTTAATATTAAAGGCAGCCTTTTTATGCAAAAAAGAAAAATATAAAAATTACAGAGTGTATGACCTACCTAATAAGAGACCTTAAAAAAATTTTGTTTTTCCTTGCCAAAATCAAGTAAAAAATGTACAACATAAAATTATACAAATTATTTAAATGGGAAAAAAACACTAACATAATTAAAACTAGACAAATTATTATCAAAATTATATGGAAAAGCTGGATTAAAAGAAACAAAACTAGTTTGATTATCAAATGAAAGTCAAAGGTGTTTTTAACAATTGCCTAACACCTCTTTTCAATTTCATCTAACGAACTAATTTCGTAACTGCCAATACTGCTTTAATTGCAATATTAAAATGCCTTATTTTTTAAAAAAAAATTCCTCCTTATTTAAGCTTTTGCAATCTCAAATGTGCATAATTAAGGTGAGTTATAATTAAATGTAATAAAATAATTAATAACTGTCGAAATGTTAAAGGATGCGCCTACCTTTTTTAATGAATATTTATAATAAAATATAAAAAAATAAAATAATGACATTTTAATAAAATAATAAATTTTGAAGATTATAATAAACATATAAATGTTTTTTAAATAAAAATTACTGTGGAAGTATATTAGCTGTTGGTATCCCAAAACTTACTGTAACCCATAAAAGTTGCATACTATGATAAATTATAAATATTACAACTTAAATTGCAGAACAATCTGTCAAAAATAAAAACTGTGTCTATAGGAAAAGTTAGTTTAGATTTTCGTAAACAATTTGTAACTTTTCCTCAAGAACTAAATATAATTTACAAATTAGCCTCAAAACTACCATTGAAAGCTAAACTTTTTTATGCTTATTATTAACAGTGCATATTTTATCTTTATAAAAAAAAAGTATACATAGAACAAAACATGTTTAAATAATAGGATAATATTGAGCATATGTTTTAAGAAAATTCATTCTTCTAAATAATATTTAATATCAGTCATGAAAAATATCAAAAATTTATAAAGTGTCATATAAATTAAAGTACAAGAACTAGTAAAGAAAAATGTTTGCTGTTTATAAGTTTATAAAAGAATATACAAGTTTCATTAATAGCACAAGTTTTTTGTAAAATTTCCAAAAATGTAAATATATAACTTTAAGATTACGATTATTATTGGAGTGTTTCAGCTAGGCAAATTTTGTAGTGGGTAACATGGACCGTGTATTTTTGCTGGTTGTGGTGAAAATTTACTCTTATATTATTAAATACTTCAATAATCAATTACTTTTAGTATTTTTTCAGATGAAAGGAGAAAAATAAATTAATATCAAATGTGTATATTTTAACCATTGAGCATTTAAACCATGAAATGTGAGTCTTAAAGTATTTTAAAAATGACAAATTTATATTTAACCTAAAATATTTTATGAAGAAATGTTTAGAATGTTTTAAACTCTTCACACACATTTTCAAAATACTAATGAATTATCAAAATGATAAAGATAAGTCGAGCAGAATTATGTTATACATAAAAATTTCACAACACAACTTTACATAAAAATGAAAGCAAAATAAATCATGAAAATCTCTCAAAAACAAAGTTTAAAAATGATAACAAAATATAATCTAGCAAAATGAAAAAAAAAAGAAAAAAGAAAGACTAGAATATGCTATAAAATTTAGTAAGGAAAAATTCGATTTCCTAAGTAAATAAAACATAAATATTTAACTAACTTGACACTTTTAAAATTGCTCATGAAATAGATTGAATTGACTAGACACAAAAAATTGGAAATTTAAAAATCTAGAGAAAAACTTACACAATATGGAAAAAATACAAAGGTTGAAATTTTTATAGTGGTAACAATGCTCTAGAGATTACATTCAACAGAATTGAATAATGTCGCTTATGCTTGCAACAGCATCAGGTACATCACAGTATTGGGGGTTTAATATCCAAGAGAAATGATCATGATGTTCTTGAAACAGGAATAATCAAGTTTAAAAAAGATTGAATACGTCAGAGATCTTAGAGCACAGCAGCTTCTTAAAAGGTTTTTACAGAACCTGCATTGCCTTATGGAACAGAGGCGAGATTAGGGGTGATAACCTTCATCAAGAAACACCAATATACTGCAGACGGACGAGGCTGCTGGTGTCAGTGATGAAAAAAACAAAAAGATAAATGGAATAGAGAAGTGCTTTATCATCAAACATACTACTCGGACTTTGTGACCTGATATCACAAAACCTTTTTGTAGCATTAGCTTTAAAAATGTTTTAGAGATTCTTCAAACTGCAAATTGCTGCACCCAAATTATCAGCACTGCTTTAAATGTATCTAGCGACTATGAATACTACTTGCAACGTTTAGTATCTTATACCAGTATCTCAGAGTAATCCTATCAAATATTCTTTGATTGTCGGCAATCAGTATATTTGGTGAGTGCATCAAAGTAAGATAATAAAATGTGATAACATATATTTTTTGTAACAGTAGTAAAAAAAATAGTTGCCACTATTAAAGTTTCGACTTTCATGTTTTAACCAATACTTAAAAAATAGAAAAATTGGAACATACATTGTAATGCATGATTTATACATTTTTCATTTATATATTGTTACAAAACAGCTCTGATTTTCTTGTAAACTTTATCATAATAAAGTGATGAAATAATGTGGAGAAATATGCCAATTTCTTTTCTAACATACACAAATTTTTTAATGCCCCAGTTATTTCTTTTAATAATCAACTGTTTTTCATAAATTTCTTACTTCTTGCACAATATTCTACTTCTTAATTTAAAACAAACATAGATCGTATTAGAATGCATATGAAATTTATTACATAATAAATAAATGTTAAGCTTTAAACTCTCAAAATTTTCTTATTTTTTAAATTTAAATGCTTTGCAGTAATTTATGGCACTGTTTTAAAAATATTGATATAACTGTTATATAAATAATTACATATTTATTGTATTAATAGCAATAAATTTGAAATAATAAATATTGTTTGTTAAAATATAAGTTATGTGTCCTTTTATATACAGGTTTTTTATGCCAATTACCTGAAGGACATATAAATGGTGCTTTACTGTACATTTAAAATCATGCACACACATTAAAATGATATAATTGCTTCTTAATGTAATATTATATCAGATTTGTAATAAATATAATGTAGAATTACATTAGAAAACCTTATTTTTTAACACAAATAATTATTTTATGTATTTGAACCTTATTCCTCAGTGAAATTATAATAATAAGAACCTAAACAAAACTTTAAAAAATAAAATTTTCATAACGTCAAAAAGCTAATATAATAAACACATTGCTAAAATAATAGCCTACTTAATATGGTTTAAAAATATGTACATATTTCGTGAAACGTAAAATCAAAATGTTCTTAAACCCTAAAACTTGAATAATTTAGAATTTTCTTTTAAATCAATGTGAAATAAGATTATAAAATACAACTAATTGTGCACACCATTATAAGTGCTGCAATGGATTTCAACTTAATTAAGGTGATATGCACCAAATCATCAGAAACCAACAAAAAATGCTCTAAAACAAGTTACACATTAAAAAAAAAATTTAAAAAAGTAAAATAGGATGTCTCTCCAGTGAGCTCTGTACCAGTGAGCGAATACCACTTTTTTTTCTTTAAAAAAAAGTTGTTTTCTTTTTTCATATAAATATGTGTATTTTAAAAAATATTTTAATAACCTGTTTAACTTTTTCAGTATGTATAAATATAAAACATTTTTCCAATTGTTTTAAAACTTGTTAGTGTGGGCTTAATAGAATTTGATATGAAACCTTTAGAGCTTTGTAGAAAGAAAAAAATTTTTGAGAAAGATCTTATTTAAGCCTTATTTAATAATAAAACATAAATTTATTTTGTCAAGTTTTTAATTTTTTGCAGATCTCAGTGTATAAAAGTATGAAGTGACAATCGAGTGCTTTCATTTTTGGTAAGATATTTGAAATCATTAAAAAAAACTACAAGAATTTTTTCTAAAAAATCAAAATCAAAGAAATAGACTCCTAACAGCACTGCCAAAATATATTTGAAATCATATTCAATTATAAAACAGCCTTTTAAAAACAATTTCTATAAAAAAAAAGATGCACAGATCTTAATTTCAAAATGAAATGGGTAAAATGAGAATTTCAGTATACAATAATCAGAGAAATATTTTAACACTCAGCATTGCCGATTTAAGGACATAAAAAGCTTCAAAAATACTCAATATTGGGCTCAATTTTGACAAGACAAAAAAAAAATTATTTACTCACTTTTGAATACATGGGTTCATCAATTTTTCGAATTTTTCAAAAAAAATTTTAAAACTATTTTGCAAATGCCCCTTGAAGCTTTATTTTTCGACACATTTCAAGCAACTTAAGTTTTTATATAATAAAATATTCAAGATTTCAGTTGATTGAAGTTCAAATAACCAATTCAAGCATAAAAACCTTGAGTATATATTTACAAAAGACAGGCAATAAAAATACATTATGCAAAGTAGATACTTCAGTACACTTGGGTGCATTATAAATATTTACGAGTCTTCATTAAAGCTTTTCATTTAGAGGAAATTACTTTATTAACCACCTAAAAATAAAAGTAATATATCATTCATATATAACCTGAAATTTATAAATTTCTAGAAATCTGTAAATGCAGTTATTTATTAAATCAGAAAAATATAAAGTTGTAATTCAAGTCTCTTTATTTGACAATATTAATTTAGAAAAACTAATACAAATGACTATATTAATGTAGATCAAAAATAGTGAATGTCAGCATTTACATAGTATGTCTAAAACATTTGTTAGAAATTGTTACTTCTCCTTTTCACAGCAAATGTTGATAACGTTTTGTTAAATATCGAAAACACTATCAAATGCTGACATTCAACATGCATTTATGGTGACAGTTGGATATAAGTTTTTTTTTGGGAAAAAGAAGGAAAGAAATCATGATTTTCTTTCCCCTTTCTAAATCATTTTGGGCATTTATAAAGGCTGACTAGATATGCTAGCAGTCAGCCTTCGTAAATACCCAGAGTAACAAAGATATGTGCTACTGTATATCTTAAATTTTACTAACAATTCCTGTTAGCTTATTATAAGGTAGATAGAAAACAAAAATTTCTAAACAAATTTAAACTGCATTTTTCCTATAAATCGAAATTTCAAAAGTTTTTTTCTTTTTTTTTAACAATTTCAATGAAATTTAATCCAGTTGACAGAAACCAATAAATACTTACTTTAGTCAAATCCACTCCTGTTATAGCTTGTACACTCGGAGGTAACTGACTTAGTAACTTTGTGACTTCTCCTGTAATCTTATCATCACCACCAAGTAATACTATTTCATCTGTTTTAGCAAGAGGAGCAGCAATTTCAGCAGCAATCTAATATACACGAAAAAGAAATCAAATATAAAAAGTAAGTGATAATGAACACAGAGTAAGTAAAAATCAACAAAAAGTATTAATGAAATAAATCAATTTAAATTAAATACATATCATTGAAATACAATTAACTCTTTCACTCGGGGAGCAATCAGTAGCTAACAAAAATTGCATTTTAGACATTTTCTGACTAATGCAAATTCACATTTTAATAAAATATAAAAGATTAAGATTATAAATGATCATTTTTAAAAAATTACGACTTTTCTTATAATTAAATTAAATGTTAAAATTTATACACTGTGAAATGCATTTTTTTGTAGTCTTATCCTCTGGTTCTTATTGAATAATATATTAACTTAGGAATAGAACATTGCATGTACATTACAATGAAAAATATTTCTGTGTTTCCATTCAAAATAAAAAAATAAATATTTAAAGCCATTGTGTTTTTAAGCTTGGCAGCTTTCTTTTGTGGCCAGTATTTGTGAGGTACTACATTTGGCTCCAGTAGTATACCACATTGTTACTTTTACACATGTGACATAGTGAAAAACAGTAACTTTTTGGTTCACCACTTCCCAGTCATAGGGAGAAAGAATTCAGGGAGTAATACACCCTCAATATGTTCCAAATAAATAGACATTAGTATAAAAAAATAAATAAAAGTCACTGCACAAATCATTAAAAGGTTTCTGTTTTAAGACAAATTTTCAAATATTTTGCAGTTAGGTAAATTCCAAGTTATGCAAACTAAATAAATACTATTTAATATTAAGATGGCCATGGTTAGGAAAAGTTTTTGCTTTAGATGGAATACTGCTTTATATAGTTTCTGTCTTAAACTAAGTTTCAAGTATATAATATAAAATTTCATAATTTCTTGTCTTAAAACAAAAAGTTTTCAGGAAAAAATTTTCTTAAAAATTTTTTTATATTGTATACAATTTATCTTCAGATGGGATAAAAATACAGAAAACATTTTTTTTGTTTATATGTATTTTAATATTTTTGTTGGAATTAAGTTATAATTAACAATAACACATTTATTAAAAAAAATGTAAACAAAAAGTGTAAGGTTTAGTTACTTTAGGCAAAGAATCTAACACTAAACTCATGATGGCAGCGTCACCATATTGCTTATAAGCTGCAGCTTTCATTCTCATTTGTTCAGCTTCTGCTTTTCCTACAGCTTCAATGGCATAAGCTTCAGCTGCACCTAACATTTTAATTTTTTCTGCTTCGGCTCTAGCTTGATCCATCGTTTGTGTCCTAAATATTTCAATAAATGTGCATAAAAATAATATAACATAAAATTAAATGAGGTTCTAATTGAACAAACAAATCACATGACCAGATTCTTGATAGTTAAAGAAAAACCAGTTACGTTCAGCTTAGATAATAGTAGTTCCAAAACTTTTATAGGACACATCAGCATATAATTAATAAAAGTTTTTAAGTAGGTTACTATTATTTTAGTTTGTTATTTATAAAGTTTTAAAATAAGTTGCTAGTCTTTATTACCTTAATATTTAGCAATATTTTCTTGCAGTTATTACATCTTTGATATTGTTAGACGGATTACAAAGAAGTGAAAAAGACACAAAATAAAAAACAAGTGGAAAAGAAAAGTTCGAAAAAGAATGAAAGATTATTTCATATGATTTTAAATTTATCGCATTGACTAATGATATTTTCATTTAAATGCTGTGCTTCATAGGTAAGAAATAAAGCTGATATTGTATAATAATAAAGTTTGAAAAGTGCATGATAAAAAAAGTTTTGATAGCATGATAATTTTTCAGCTTCCTCAGAAATATAATGAAAAATTAGAAAAATGATCGGTAATAAAAAAAATAAAAATATATTGCAGATTCAAAGAAGAATATAATGCCTTTTTTGTGTATTAGTCAAGATTTAAACATAAATTAATAGTGGGAATGGAGTCTATTTATTACTTTAGATAATACTACAATATTAGATTATGGATAATCCTTTAACAGAGAGATAATACGATAAACTTTGTTAATACACTATTTAACAATTATTAAATTCCCAACCATTAATAGGATGTTCTTCGTAAATAAATAAAACTACATTTTAATACATTTTTTAAAGCTTAGTTCTGTAAGCAAATGATTACATTATTAAAATGTATATAAAATAAGTTCATTTTAATACATTATTATTATTGCAATTTTGTCAAATATTTTTATTTATTTATTTTATTTTGCATTAAGTTGCAACCATATGTTCCCTATTCGGTAAACGAAATTATCAAACAATGACTGTGAATGCAACAAATTTGATTTAACTGAAATGATTTACATTATTTCATTGATTTACATTATTTCACCCAAGTCATAACCAATGGGAAAAGGATTTCAGCTTATGATGAGATTGAATAGAATAAAAAAAATGTTTGAAGGGGTGAAAAGAAAGTTAATAATTTAATTTTCTTTAATAATTTAATTTGAAGAAATTGATTAACAAAACTGATTAACAAGCAATCAAGGAAGTTGGGGAGCTGCCGTTCATAATCATTAGAATCTTTGCCCAGCAATCATTAGAAAATTTTAAATCATCTTTGCTTGGTAATCATAACTCTTAAACCAAGTAAAATCAAATTCAAAGTTAAAATTCCATCAAAATTTAACTAAATAAGATTTTCAAAATAAATAAAAAGACATTACAATTACGAAAAAAATCAACTAAACAACGATATAGAGTATTAAAATAATTGCTGCCAACAATTTAAAATCTTAGTTGTTATATATCTTTTTTTTCAATGTGGGTTTTGCTTAACTATAAAAAATAAATTGCAATTTGGGAATTTATCATCTGATTAAGTTAAATTATAAAACACAATAGAAAATACTTTTTATAAAGTTATAAAATAATTTGTATATAATGCAAAAATTAGAACAGCTAAAAAAGTCCTAAGTTAATAATGAACCTGGTATCTGGTTCCAAGTTAATAGTATAAATTAATTGCCAAAATAACTATATGTTCAATTACCTTTTGCCCTGGGCAATCATTTCAACTCGGAAGGCTTCAGCTTCAGCTGGTAATCGGACAGTAGCACTCAGTTCTTTCTCTTTACGAAGAATCTCTTTTTCTTGTATAGATATCTGCTTTCTTCTCTCAACAACCTCAATTTCTATTTCTTCACTACGAATTTTTTGTTTCATTTTAGCTGCCTGTAGTTCATATGCCAACTGAGCTTCAGCTTTCTGTAATACAAACAACAGAATAAGCAACACAAATATTAATAAACTGTTATTTATTATTTAAACAAAATAATACTAATTTCTAATTCAAATAATTGACAAGTAAATTACTCCATACTATTATTGAATCACGGAATCTGAATTCTTTAATTTTTTCTTAAAATAAATTATTATTGACAAAATAATATTGCATAAAACTACAATAATTGTATATTTTGTTCTAAAGTTATATTCTTTGCTTTCATGGAAAATTTTGACTTTTAAGAAAAAAACAATGATGAATAAGAAATACTTATATGGGTTGATGAGTCAAGCCTCCTTGTATAGCAAAAAGGGATTAAATATAAGATTAATTTAAAATCAGGCAAAGCTTTTGTTTTTTGCATTTATTTATTTATGGTAATTTAAATAAAAACATGTGACAAATTTTTAAATTTAACCATGCTACAATGCTAAATATTTTCAATCAATAAAAAGAATTCCCACAATAATTAGAGCATAATAAATATTATCAAAATCTTCTTTAACACAATATTCAGAAAAAGAAAATTTTTTACCTTAGTATTAACTTCTGCATCAAAGTTGGACTTTTGCAGTTGATACATTCTATGAGAATCCTCAACTTTGGTGTTGGTATTATACTTCACATCCATGGCAGACTTTTCACATTCAGCTTCCTGCAAGAAATATTGCATGCTTAGAACTTCAACAACAAAAAATATATCATTTCAAATACAAATAAAATAGTAACTACACCCAATATCAGATTCTCTAGGTCGAGTGTAATAACCTGGTAAATACAATTCTATTGTATTTATTGAAATACATTGTTCTCATAGGTTAGAACACAACACTTGCAACACTTGTCACACACAACACTTGTCTCTTTAGCTTCAAAATTTATAATTAATACTAAGATGAACTGTTTCATTTAATATATAATTGTTTTGAATTCATGACATCATTTAAAATAACTTCATATTTCAATTAAATCAGTGGTGCACAGCATAAAACATGTAACCAAAGAATTGAACTATTGCAATTCAAATTTAAGAGTTGGTAAACACAAAATATCTAATTTAAAAGTTAACACAAGTTTTTTTCAGAAATGGAAAAAAAAGTCAATGTAAATATTTTTCTGAAAACTATGATCAGAACAAATAGTCATCAATGAGTCAGACACTTGGACTTAGAACCAAAAATATAAAAAGTTACTAATTACTTGACTAAGAAAATCTTGAAAGTCATTTTTAGACCAGTGAGAATAGATGGTGGATCGAAGAAATAATTGGACAACAATATTCAAAAATTTTAGAGAAGAAAATTATAAACAATTTAAAATCAAAAAGAACCCAATAGTTATCCAAGGCCCTACTTAAGAGGGGAGAAGATAGGGTCAATTGGCTCAAGGACCAAGACTGCAGTCGGCCAGGTCTAAATTCTTCAATCATATATATATATATATACCTGTTTGTATACACACACTATTTTAGTTCTGAGGAAGAGGCCCTGAAATAAATTTATTCTTGAGTCAGTAAAACCTGTATCCAGCCTAGGTGGGAACGCATGATGAGGATAAGTGACAACTGATGCACAAAAAAAAAATCTTTAAAGGTATATTCCAAGGTCAGCAAAAATGAGGAAGAGAGAGACAGACAAGGATGCCCTAAGATCAAAAAAATAAAGAATTTCTCAAAAATAAGAAAACTAAGTTATGAGACAGATTACTTCGTAGTTGAAGATTGAGCTGTTAAAGAGGTTGCGATCCAACATGAACTGTTATACTCAGGATTTTGAAATTATCTACCATTATCCAAAAATTGAATTATAGAAATCTGACTGCTTCATGGGCTGTATAAATTTTGCAGCTGTTAAAAAATATAGAGGTACAATTTTATTTCTTTATGCATACAGAATTTGTACATGCTACAACAGTCTGAATTTAAATAAATTTCACTGGCTGCAGTCAGTTAGCGGGTAGGTGACCACTTTGATCAGCCTGCGTAGGGATAAAGGGTGCACGGTATCAGTCCTCGTTAAATTGTTCTACCATAAAGTGCTCGACTTTGTGCGCAGATCGTTAGGCTACGAAAGCAGGGGAGCCATCCCCTCTATAGAGGATCAAAATTGTGAAGGCATGTCTTCAAATCATCCTCGGGAATGTTTCCCAGACCGTCGCCTATAGCCCATTGTGCAAATCCTGCATGTCGAAAGTAAAGTACCTACCTGAATTTCAATATGCTGCAACTAATACAAGTTTTTTTCAGAGACTGATAACAACAACATAGCAATGCACCTTAAAAAATGAATAACTCTCAAACAGAGTAAATAAAATGTAGTTACTCTGATTCCAGCATCTCTTTCAGCTTGTGCAACGCCTACATCTGCATCCCTTTTGACAGCAGCCGTCCTGGCCTTTCCAAGTGAAGACAAATATTCAACCTGGTCAAATACATCTTTGATGGTGAAGCTCAGAATCTCAATACCCATCCTACCTACATCTGGTGCAGCGACTTCTCTCACCAGAGATGCAAATTGATCCCTATCTCTGTAAACCTCCTCAACAGTCAGAGTACCTAATTTAACAACATAAAACACTTAACACTAACACTTAAAACGCAAAAAAAAATATTAAACATGTATCATTGCACAAAATTTTGACTCGTCAGTTCACCATTCAAGATCAAATAGTTAAGGCTGGCCAGTAAATTTTATATTTTAAAATGAAATTAGATATGCTTAGGTTATCGTGCCTTAAGGAAGCAGAGTATGGAAGTGTTTTAAAATGAAACAATGGTATTTTCTTATATTTTGAACGAAAAAAGCTGGTTTACTTACTTCTTATCTTTGAAATTACTTCTAGAAGCATTTAAACCTAATGACAACCATATTTTATAAAACATTACTATTGTAATAAATATATTTCACACTTTTAAATTTCTACATTTGTTTTCTTCCTACGTTTTTATCATTTTTTTATATTTGATTTTTTTTATACAACGAAAAAAATAGGCATTAAGATTTAAATTTTTCTTTTTATATTTTTCGTGAATATTAAATGGTGGTGAGCAAGAATTTCAGTTCATTTAGTATCTTTATAAATGAAATTCCACACCCCGACATGCGTCATGAGCATTGAAAAAATACCCAATCCACATTTAATTTATACTAGCAGCTTTTGACGACTAGATTGGTCAATTATTTTCCAATGAACAATTGTGAATAATTGTTTTGTAATCTGAAAACTACAATATTGTATCACAAATCACAAGTTGCAAAAGGTTTTAAAATCAAATCTTAAAATATTATTAAAGGATACATTTTAATAAAATGAAATTACATCAAATAAGAAAATGACTTGAAAAAACAATTTATATCCTCAAGTTGATTTTAAAAATAAAAAAATCAAGCTTGTATTAGTCATTATTATTATTTTATAAATTGCTTATTCATATTTACTACTAAATTAAAAAAAATAACAGAATTAATACAAAAAATTATTTAAATGCAATTTTGGTATCAATGCAAATTATGAAATTTTAAAATATAAAATAAATGTAGAATATTCTTTGTACAGCAGAGAAACTAAAGCTTGTTTTACCTAAAATTGCTCTAAGATGACCTTCCAAAGTTTGAAGTATGACAGACTTTATATGATCAACCCTTTTACCAAGAAACTGTTCAGCAGCTGTTGATAAAAATTCTTTTTCAGTCATGACTTTACACTGTGCAACACCAGTCACTGTGAGTGGAACACCTTGAGCAGTCTCAACATGCTCGCATTTAGGCATCAAAGTCATCACCTCAAGAGAAAGTCTAAAAAATAATTTTTAAACTAAGCATAAATTCACAGAAATCGAATTATTAAGTAGAAGTACATATTCAATGAAAAAGTTATAAGTGAACTGTAAGTCTCTTAAATTAAAATGTGTTTTTCAATGGCAAGGAAGGATAACAAATATAGAAATGTTTAGTAGTAGAACATGTTCAATAAAAATGCGTTAAGTAAACAAGTTAAAAAGAGGCGCTCAATTATGCAGAAAGTTTAGACAGCTTCCTCTTATTTTTATACACATTAAAGCTGATTTTCTCCAGTTCACAAAAATATCACATAACATGTTCATCCATTAATCTTCAATTAATTAACAAATCAGTTAAATAAATCACTTTAAAGATAACTTTAGCCTAGACGTGTACTAGACGAATACTTTACCAAGACGAATACTTTAGACTAGACATGTCGACGGCAATTATGTTAATTTCATAAATGTCAGTTTTTCAGAAACAATTCCTTTTAATAGACAACTTAGTAAAATATTTGTATGAAATTTAATTCTTTTAAATAATTAATAATCCTTTTTTTAACTTAATTCTTTTTTATTTATTCCTTTCATTGGTCAACTTAGTAATATATTTGCATAAATTAAATTCACTTAAATGCAAAAAAAAAATCATTCAAAACTAAAAAATACCAAAATACCAAAACTAAAAAATACCAATTTTTTTTTTTCTTCTTCTTATCAAAAAACAGATTTGTTGAAAAAAATATGAAGATATCGTTTTTTATCATATCCCATAGCACAAAAGTTTATTTTAAAATAAATTAACTCTAATGTTCCTGAATGAAAGTAAAAAATAAAAAATAGATAAATATTTTATTGAGTAACACAATAGCAAATTAAATATATTAATTAAAAAAATAGCATGAGGTCTAAAATGATTTAAAATAAAACAAACGCATTCTAGCTCTAAATGAGATTCAACATTCAGTTGAGATTCAGTTTATTTTGAGCTTTAGAATATTTATGTTTAGTGAATTATAAGAGATTTTATGAATGTTAAATCTTAAAATGGTCTTTTTTAACATTAAGTTACAAAAAATTAGAAAAAGTTCAAAAACAGTTTAAAAAACCCACGTTTTCATTTTGTGTGTTACAATAATACAGGATTCCGAATATCGAGATTTAAAAAGTGTGGAATAACTGATAGCAACTAAAAATACATTATACATTGACAATGAAATTGGCACAAATGAAACATGTCAACAGTGATGATTAAAATGCCTGATTTGAAAATCGAAAGCCATTATAATACCGGATGAAAAATATCAGGATTTTTGAAACCTAAGAAAAAGCCTAGCAATTACTGTTGAAAGAACAAACAACAGCAACAAAAAAGTCCCTTAGGTTTGTGATGCAATCATCACAAATAAAGCGCACATTTAAATGCACGATTCGAGTCTCATAGTAATATATATTCAGGATTTACATAACCATGTGGAAATGTGGTAATAATAAGTGATTGAAAATAGAAAAAAATTCTTAGAGATACAATATTTAGAAAAACAAGTAACAGTCAAAACCTAGTTACCAGTTAAACTTATATAAACATACTTAGAGAAATAACACCTAGAAAGAGAGTACTGAGAAAATAGTATGATAATATTGACACAAATAAAGTGCATCAAAAATGATTACTATTTGTAGAAACTCGCAAGTCATAATTATGTATGTATGAAAAAGATCAGGATTTTGAGGACCCATGAAAACACTGTCAGAAAGTCACTTGGATTAACTATAAACTGAACAACAAAAAAAAAGTTTCAAAAATTCCAGAATGAACTTTTTTATTTGTGTCCAGAAACTGAACACAAATAAAAAGTTTCAAAAATTACTAAAATTTGAAATTTATGCATCATAATTTTATCGAATTAAAGATATTTGAATTTTCAAAACTTTGGAAATTTGTAGCGATTACTACCAAAAACAGCGTTTGAAAAACTACATTAATTCAGATTTGGTGAGTTAAAAACTTAAATGTGCAATTTAGAATTTCTGATACTTTTTCATTTTCTAAAATAATATAATATCCTCCCTATCATAGTGTATTATTTCTGTATCCTGCACCTTCAAACCTCAGGCCCCAATGGATAATGCAGTAATGAATGTGCATAATGCAATAATTCCTGATCTCTATAAAAAAAAAACACATCACTAACTAAGAATAGAAGTCTTGCACCTACAATGTACTAAGATTCTGAGCATATCTCTTCAAAATTAATTTTATCATTCTTAACCTATCTGGGCATTGTATAAGGATTGAAAAAAATGCTTAACAAATCGTTTCTTTTCTTTTTTTCATAGTAATTTAAACATTTTTTGTGTGACTATTATGAACTTTTACTATGCATATACTAGATTCTTTTATTATAATATACAAAAATTACATTTATATAAATTACACAAATTATAAGGAGTCATTATAGGAGCTTAATACAAATTTTAAACGATTATTACAATATTGTATCAAACGACATTATTTATTACAATTTCTACACATAATACAAATTATACTTACATAAATAATACAAAAATATACTTACATAAACAATACATTTTTAAAAATAAGAAATATGATCAGTATAACTGCCATTCAAAAAAGAGCTAAGCTTTAAACTTTACCTTGTTAGTATAATTGGCAAAAGTAAATAGCACTGTTTGTACACAAAGTCAGTTGGAATAGGTTTTAAAATATTTCCAAAGATAATACAGTAAGAAGAAATTCTATTTACTGAGATCTTTTTAATACAATTTCTATAGATTCACAAATTAAGTAAGTAAATCATAGGAACAGTGTCATACACACAGGCTATTACTTATTAAAAAACTTTGAAAAGAATTTTAAAAACTTATTTAGTATCATTTTTAAATTATATGCTAATATTACATTTCTATAGATGTAATATGAATAAGATAAGTGTTTTTATAAATTTGCTATAAAAAAGATCACACAATACTCACCGCTGTATATCAGTAACTAACCACCAGGCCCATGCCCAACCGCCTACAACTGTTCGTTTATCTAAAGATCCACAACAACCTCCTACAAGCAAAAAAATTTATTTTAAATGTGTAACTTGCATTCAGTTTGTTCTACAAATTTACTTTACTAAGCAACTCCATATTACAAATAAAATCGTCAAAATAAAAATACAAAAAAGCATAAATGCAATTTGAAATTTTAAAATAGAAAAGTATACACCGATAAAATCTAAAGAAAAAATTCAAATATTCACGATTATTAAATTCTTCTAAATAAGCTTAAAACAGAAATTAATAAGAAAAAATTTAATGTACTAAAGACATCCCTGGACTAAAAATTACTGAAAATAATATAAAAATTTAATACAATACCTGATACAATTAGGGCTTCATTAGGTCCAACAGTGTAAATATTGCCCATTTTGAATGCCTAGAGAAGTGTTCACTTGTACTTTAAGTTACACAGGAAAAACTCTTCTAAAGCATATCTAAAAATAATACCGAAATAAATAAATATTAGTACAAATACGCTGCATTAATAAAAAACGAGCAATAACAATTTTGAGCAAAATATCTCGATCAAAAGTTTAATGTCAAAGAGAACTTGCCAATCGATAATTATGAAGAAATTGATGCGATAAGAAGTCGAACGAAAAGCGTATAAATGTGGTAATCGTTTAATTCGTAATTATTTTATAAAATTACTATATTTCAGTGAAATGCCTCACCCCCTTTAATTGTTATTTCACTAACGTCAAGTCAGATTGCGAAACCAAACAATAACAAACATTTAATGAAACTTGATATTCTTAACTCTTAACCGTAATAAATTTTCACTACAAATTGAAAGTGACTGAAAAATTTTGAAAAGAAAATTTCGAAAATATTTCTGTAATCTTTTTTTATTTATTTCTTCTTCAAATCATTGATAAGTGAAAATTAATTTTATTTTAATAACGTTTGTAAATTTACAACTTTTAATTGTAATCGAAAATAACTAAAATTGCTAGTACCTCCATCTATCGATTTAAATTGAAACTAATTGTGAAATGGAAAATTATTAGTTCACAAAGTATTTTGAAATTAAATAATACCATACAGAAAGAAAGTGTAAAATAAAATGAATTGCTTCTTAGAAATTATAAACGTTTTCTACGAACTCAATTAAATAATCATCAAAGATTAATCGTCTTTTCATAAATTACATTTTCAATATCCTGAAAAGTACTAAACCCCAAGAACTTTCAGAGAACTTTACCTCAAGAGAGACACTTCAAGTCAAATTTATATCGAAATTTTTTTTAAATTTTCTCATTCTTTAATTAATTTATGGTTTTTGACCGTTGAACTCGTTCTGCTCGTTTTTTTTTTAATGTGTTGCGTGATAATATTAAATATGTGAATGCACAGAGATATTAACAAATATTTTTTATTACCTCTAAATTTTTTTTAATTTAAATTACATTCAACTAAGAAATCTTTCTTACTTATTTTGTGCTTGTTTTGTCAATTACTTTTGTGTATTTTTGTAAGATTAATTAATAATTAATCTTCTCTTCATCTCACAAAGAACGACGTGTTGAAAAAGATATGTTTTTATCTCTGAAACTTGCATATAAAAATCTAAACACAAATATATATATCTATATATCTTGTCAGTGATAAATCAACAAATTGAATGAATTGATTCAAATAACTGGAATTGTAATTTCTTCCCATTTAAAAAAAAAAAAAAAAATTTTGATTTCATTTTTTAAATATTATTTTAAGTATAAATAATTTTCTCAGATCCCAGGTTATGTTATTAGATCCTAGAAAAAACAAAAATTCTGTTTTTCTTTGTTCAAATAAGAAAGAGATATTATTTTTCTGATTAAGGCGAATTTACCACAAAATTGCTTTAAGATACATAGGTTCCAAAGCTTTTTTGGAACTTTGCGAGACAAAAGAATTTCAACAGTTCACCTTCCATCCCAAGGGTTAAAAAAAATTGATAAATAATCATATTTGCATTCTTTTTCCGCACTTTTTTGAGCAAAGTTGCGAAAAAGCTGTAAGTTCTTACATAAAATTTAATTTAATGCATCGCCTTATTTAAATTAAATAATCCATAATATATTTCTACTCTTTATAATAATATTTTATCAAGTCTATGAAGAAAGTTGTATGGTTTAATTATGAATTAATAGGAAGGATAGAGTCAACCGTTTCCACTCCTTTTCCGTCGTTTTCCAGTCCATGTAGAACATTTAAAATTAGTTCAAACAGTTATATTTTATAGTTAAACTAGATTCCAAAATTCGGTGAAACAAAAGGGCAAAGAAAGTTTAAATATCTTCAAATACTTGAAAATTGAAATTCGAACTTTTTATTTAAAAAAAAATGGTTTGTTTTAATTAAATCGAAAAGTATATCAACTATTTATGTAAAATTGGAATCGATGATTATTGGGAGGTAGAATAGTCTCTTAATTTCAAAAAAATTTTACTAAGCGGGCTCTTCAACTCTCAGATAACGCTACACAACGGGCGAAACATTTCATGACAAATTCTTTTTTACCTGCTTTAATAATTTAAAGAAAAGAAAAAAGTGAGTTCATTTAAACTATAAAGTTTAAAATGCTGAAATTTTATTCTTCGAAATATCAAAATGCAAACAAATTATGGTAGAATAACTCAAAAAGGAAGTAATCCTGCGATAATTTGTTTTCATTTTGATATTTTTAAGAGAGAAAAAATTTCAGCATATGAAACTTCCTTTACTCCTGTTGGCTTACCTGAACTCCATTTTTATGTATTTTAAATTACTAATGTTCAGTAAAAGAGAATTTAAAATGAAGCGTTTCTCCCGCGGGGTAGTGTCTTCGAAAGAAGATATTGCAAACAATGATTTTTAAGGTAGCTATTAAAAGCTAAGCGTTTAAATCAAAGAATTAGTGCACATATTTTACAGAAAAATACGGCTTCAGTGCAAAGTAAGAAAATTGCAATGTTATGTGAATTTTATTTTATTTTATAACCGTCGATGAACAGCCGACCCTATTATGAGTTTACGATTACATTGTTTAACTTAGTAGCCTTATAATATTGAACCCAATCCAGAAGACCAAGTATTGGGAGAAACTTCACTTTGGACTTTTGGAACTAACCTGCATTTCCGTTACATGGAGAGGAAAACAACAGAAATCTCCCACGGTTAGTTTGATGGGCTGGGGTCTCTAACCCATGATCCGTCTACCACGTAAAATATTTTACGTCAGCACTGTGGTCTGTGCTAGCCGGGTGCGGAATCGTTTCGGGCACTCGCCCCTGGGATTTGAACTCAGTTCACCTCATTGGGAGGATGAGCGCTCTATCGCCTGAGCCACCATGGCTCAGTAATGAGAATTAGTGAATGGTATAGCATATATCAGGGATGGCGAACCTTTATACACCAACGTGCCAATTATTCTAAAAAAATTGTTTAATGAGGTCATAGACGTGCTTTCAAATAATTTTGACTTCGTGATTATTGAGAAAATAATAATACTAAATACTATCAACTCANAAACGTTTTCTACGAACTCAATTAAATAATCACCAAAGATTGATCGTCTTTTCATAAATTACATTTTCAATATCCTGAAAAGTACTAAACCCCAAGAACTTTCAGAGAACTTTACCTCAAGAGAGACACTTCAAGTCAAATTTATATCGAAATTTTTTTTAAATTTTCTCATTCTTTAATTAATTTATGGTTTTTGACCGTTGAACTCGTTCTGCTCGTTTTTTTTTTAATGTGTTGCGTGATAATATTAAATATGTGAATGCACAGAGATATTAACAAATATTTTTTATTACCTCTAAATTCTTTTTAATTTAAATTACAATCAACTAAGAAATTTTTCTTACTTATTTTGTGCTTGTTTTGTCAATTACTTTTGTGTATTTTTGTAAGATTAATTAATAATAACATTCAACCCGCAGGACATTGCGGATTGCAAGTCAATCTGAATAAATGCTAGAGAAATTAAATTTCCTGTCATAAATTTTTTTTTTAGACGTATCGCATTAGAAGTTGAATTATCAACCTAATTTACGTGCAGCATAGATTGAAATTATACATTCATTAGTCTCTATATTTTTAAGAGTACAGTTTAGAATTAAAAGAAAATGAATGAATAAATAAAATTTAAAAAAGAAAAAATGAAACTTTTAAAGTTTCGCATTTTTACGGATTTTTGACCCCTGGATAGTTTACAACAGCAATTTCTAGTTATATCTGATATATCTATCTCAGTTTGAGTCACTGTTAAAAAATATTTTGTAAAATGTTATTTTCAGAAGACTAAGACAGCAATGCGAAATTGGCTCAAAAAGTGGTTCCCTTTAAAAATTACATCAATTTAAGGACCAATTCGGTTCAGATCGGTGAGAACAAATATTATGTAATTAAACATTTATACAAATATAAATAGATATTTTTTAAAAAAGCTAATTTATATACAGGGATTAATTTGAAGTATGTGAAAAGAAATTTTTAAACTTTTATATTTTTTTTAATTATATATCTCCTGAGATAGCATATTGCCATATATTATGTATCAATTAACAGTATTTTTTCAGGATGTTAATCTTCAGGTTAGTTGAAAATATTTTTAAAAAAAATTTAAATATTTCATTAATTTGCATATATTTTTTTAAAAAAATAATAAATAATTTTTAAATAATAAAAATTGAAACATGTTTGGAATTTATAAAATAATAACGAAAATTAGTTTTAAGCATCGAATTCCATGCATTTAAAAAAATTTTTTTTTTTACTAATTTAGTTGTTCTCCGTGTGGTATGGAATTTAAATGCGAGATATTCAATAGAAATAACAGAGTGCCTGTACGNATTTCATTAATTTGCATATATTTTTTTAAAAAAATAATAAATAATTTTTAAATAATAAAAATTGAAACATGTTTGGAATTTATAAAATAATAACGAAAATTAGTTTTAAGCATCGAATTCCATGCATTTAAAAAAAAATTTTTTTTTACTAATTTAGTTGTTCTCCGTGTGGTTTTAACGATGAAATTTCAAATTTATATCTTGTGCTCCGCTTTGAATTCATGTATTATTAATCATCATGTATAATTATTGCTAATTAGGCATTATATAAAATAATATTTTTTGCTCTTTTGCAACTGACTTTATTTCAAATTTTATAATTTTTAGATAATTAATTTTTAATTTAATATTTTGTCAGATCTTATTTTCTCTGTTTTCCTCATTTATTTATTTATTTGGCCTCAACATTCTAATCTCCATGTTGGATCTATTTACTAATATTATTTTAGCTTTTTTTATACCTAATTTTAATAAATACTAATCTTCAATTTTTATAGGCTAATGAACCTAATTAGTTTTAGAATGTTATAAATGGCAATTAATACATTTTGATGTGTAGCATAACATGAATTGAGTAATTCAAATGTTCATAGTTTTTTCTCAAGTTTGTCTACCTTTAATAAACTTTTGGACCACTAAATGAATACCTAAGTGGTCCAAATGAACCACTAAATTTTCTCTGCTGGTACTAAATAAAATTTCCATTGCCTTCGTATAACATTACGATTAGTGTTAGAAAGTTTTTGAAGCTCATATAAGAAAATGAAAAAGTATTAAAAATATGAAATGGGAAAAGTTCTAACTTTCCTCAAACTTCTAACTAATGCTTATATATTAATTAATTTTAAAAATATTATTAAATGTATCCATCAGTGTTTAATTAATTAACATAATACCTAATTAATTCGTAATATTTTATTAATTCAGGTTCAATTTTGCGTAGCAGTGTCTTTTCAGTTTTTCATAATGCTTTATTTTCTTTTGATTTTTTTCGGGTTGTTTTGCTGGTGCTTTTTTTTTTGTTTCCTGTTAGAATATTAATTCACAAGCAAGACGGAGGATGTTTTTTTTTCTTTCTTCCTTTTTTAAGTTTAATTTTGCTTAATGCCCCTTCTGTAGAACAAATTGCAACAGTAACCCGAAATATACCCGAAATGCATAATTACTATCTTCTTAGGAAGAAGACTTGTTAAGAGAACGCTGAAACTTTTCAGTGCAAATTCTTTTTCACCTCCATCAGTAATTTAAAATTTAAAGTATAGAAAAAGTTAGTTCATTCAATCCTTGAGTCAGTCATGAAGTTTAAAAATACTGAAAATAAATTTTTGAAACAACTAAATGAAAACAAATTATTAGAGAATTACTTAGGATTACGGAATGGGGAAATTTTCTTCCAATAATTTGTTTGAATTTTAATGTTTTGAAATTCCTTTTTCATCAATTGAAACTTCATGGGTTACTCTAGGTTTGTCCGAACTCACTTTTTCTACACTTTTAATTTTAAATTAGTTATGGAGGGGTAATAGAATTTGTAATGAATAGTTTCTCCCGTCGTATAGCAACTATTACAGCTTTTATTCAAAAACATTTGATCTCTAAAACTTAATAGAGTATGTTATTTAGTTTAATTTATTTATATATTTTCCAACGGAACAACGAATTGTTTTTAGGTCTTTTTTTAATGTTTGAATAAAACTGTTCTTTGGCAACTTTAAATTTAAATCGCTTTCTTTAATGGTGATTCACTAAATTGTGAAAACGTTTTGTATTTAATTCCTAACATATTAATGGTCCATCTCCTAATGTGGATATTCATTTTTAGACTTCTTTTCAAGGATTTTAAAACTATGTATTAATGTTGTTTTTAGAAGGCTCCGTCGTAATATAAAATGATGCTTCTTTGCGAATAATATGCTATTTTTATAACTGTTGTAAGTTTGCAACTGTTACTCATGATTGGTAGGTCAAGTAAGCACTAAGCCAGTGCTGTCTACGCTTATTTTGAAAATGGCGCAAAACATATGGAGAAGACACAGTTTTTACGAAAATGAAAAGCGTTTGTGGTCTAATGTTTTAATATTTAATTACAAACTTCTATGCTGCATTACCTGGGCTCATGAAAATTTGCAAAAACTGAGAATAAGGTAGTGATTTTGAAAATTTTCATCTAGGTGGAAAAATGTCGTCAAATTGACGATTTTTAAAAAAGTTTAATAACTTTCAAAATATTTATGTTATTCGTCTGTTCTAAAGCCCAGATAACTCTTAACAGCAAGATTATATACATAGTTTAAAATCTTTGCATTGGTTTAATTATACTTAAAGCAGTTAAATTATGGCTTTTTTTCCTCTTTGGCGACTGATCTTCGAAAAACAGCGTTAAGTGTGGTGATTTCAGAATATTCCAGAACAAGAAAGTTTTATTTTCCCACTCTATAACCGTAATAACTTCCTTAACCGAAGTACCTCTTTAATTAAAAATAAAATTAATAAAATACCTTATATCAACTTTTACAGCGGCAAGACACCATGATGGCAAACCTCTAACCTCTGGAATAAATTGCTGTTAATAGTACAAATGTTTAAACAGTAATTGAAGAAGGTTTTGCGTGCCAATTTCTTGCGAGAAAATCTATTTTAGTCTTACTTAACTGCACAATATTCACTTATTTCACTGTCTTAAATTTCACAGGAATACATGAAAGTATAGTATTTGAATATGCTTGGAATGGAAAAATATTCGAATGTATTTGGTTACAAGAGACCTAAGGAAACTTGTCCTTCGGCAGTCATATAAAACGACAAGAGGGTAAAACCTATGACGCGAACAGTTTAAATAAGTGTTAATCAATTTATGGATATCAACAATTGAAAATTTGCTTACAGAAAATAATGGCGAAGCATAATCGTTAAGTTTTATTGAGTGAATTTCCTCAAAGATAATTTCCTCAAATTCTTTAAAATGACTGTTTTGCAATTATAAAAGTCATTTACTCAAATATAACTTCAATAAATATTTTTTTATTATTATTTATTATGTTTTTATTACATAAATTTAATAAAGATCAGAAAATGTTTAATATGGATGACATATTTCGCACAATATTTAGCTGTGTAATTTTAAAAGTCAAAACTCAAAGTTTATTTCTAAAAAAAAAAAAAAAAAAATCAGTTGAACAGTGTCCGAGAAGTAAAATTGAAAACTATAACTTAGTATTACTATTTCAATTCAAAATTATTCTTCAAATTTAATATAATAAACTTAATATATCATCAAAATAGATCAAGAAATTAGGAGGAAAACGATTGCAAATGACCTTTATGATACATCTCGAAAGATTTGAGTTCAAAATATCCTTTTCTTCATTCTTAATTCTTAAATACAATGCGTAAATTCTTTGTTAAGTGTGCAATTTTTCAAAAATGATTTCAGATTGTTAAAATTAAAAATAATTGAAAATTCAATAATTAACACTTACCTACAAAATTCTTCTGAAAATACCATTATCATAATGATTCTTTTTATGTTAAAAATGTGTTAACCTTAATGGAATACTAGATGTAGAATTAAATGTTAGTCGATTAGAGCGCCACCGAATGAATGAGTGGATGGTTTTTGTTCGTTGTTATAGCAATGAAATCAGCGTGTTCGACCTACTTTATATTCACGCAACGAAGCTATTTTTGAAAAATATAATACAACAATCCATGAAATTTATCAGAAGTAAATAAAGCTTAAAGGACACTTATTAACATAGATATTCATAATAATTTGCAATAGAATACTATTATTAAATTATTTAACAGAAGTACCTTTTGGTAATCACATTTCTTTTAATATTTACTAGAAACTTATAAATAATAATAAAAAAAAAGGAAGAAGAAATCGGCCTTTTTATCCCCTTTGATTAACGGCTGTTTTACTAGTTTTTCATTTTAACCTTTATTAAATCTATCTTACGCCGAATCTATCTGAAACTACTATTTTACACCCAACACCTATTGTGTATCACCCTCAAACAAAAATCTATTAAATGTAGTTGTGATTGTTTGTTCATCTGAAGATATGCTAGGAATTACTTGAAACTCTCCCCCAAACAGCCCCCCAAAAAAAGTGTTGCTGGTTGTAATAACCAATTTTAATAAAAAGTATTGTATTTCTAATTAACTCATTTAATAAAAAAGATCTCGTNTTTTTTTTTTTTTTTTTTTTTTTTTTTTTTTTTTTTTTTTTTTTAATGTTGAAATTATTACTAAAATTTCAACATAAAAAAATGATGAGGTAGTAGCAGTTAACATTAATAAGTAAAATATATATTATGAGCGATGACGATTTGAACTATATGAACGATTTGAACACATTTAGTACAGGGGACATCGCAAACTTTTTTTTAAAAAAATACTCTTTTTTTCCCCCTATAAATATAAACAACTTAAACAGTGGTAGCATTCAAGAAAAGTGATTTGTTGAATGTTTGTAGAAACTTTGACTCATTTATTAATAACTAGTGATGTAATGATTTAAAAGCCTAGATATAGTACACGGATATATCTTTCAAAACACTAAATTGCCTAAATATTATGTAGTGGTAAAAAAAAAAAAATTTCAATATATCATAACAATCTTCTAGCGTGCACTCTGAAAAATTTCACCGATAGATTACTGTCAGCGATGGGCAAAATGTCTTCCAATAATTGACCTTAAGAAATTAGTTCATGCCCGCAAAACTATTATGCTAATTAAATACAGGTCTGCCTGTGAATTTTTTATCGTAAAATATAAGGTCATTGGCTTTAAATTAACTTTATACACGTAACAAACACGATATTGTTTGAGATTCAGATATGCTTGTCGAATCAAGGGAAACAGTGGAAGAAAGCGACATATAGCAATGCTGTTTATCTGCTGAAGAATTGAGAGAGTTAGGTAATCATTGTTCGTGGTCACCTATGTGGAGGCAGTAATCACTATGTTTGATTTGGCACCGGCCGGGGATGAACTCAGAATCCTTGTGCCCGTAACCTAAAGCTGTAACCACTACAGTAAAATGTGTACTCCCTTCCCCGAATTGAGTTAGGAAGCTTTTTATAATGATTGCCGGTAGAGGAGAAGTTGTTTGAAATTAATTTATTTCGATTCGACAAAACATTAAATTCTGTTTTGAGTATGAAATAGTTTTGATTTAGTATGACTTCGTATGAAAAATAAAAAAACATTAATTTCATTAACAAACATTTAATTTAACTTTTTTTTTTGTCGTCATAATTTTGTGTAAATGTAGTTTTTTTTATGGCAAAAGTGAATAATAATAATATATTTAATTACACTGAGCTTTTCTTTTCAAAATGGTAGCTGAGGGTACAAATTAACCGTCAAGTTTGCAGAAGTTTATTACAATTCCAGTAACTAGGTCTTTCCTTTTTCTTCTTTTTCTTTTTTGATGAACCGTCAGCTCTCCGAATTTTACGCAAATGCATCAATGAATTCTATTTTATGTATCATATAAAAAAAAATTGAGTATGCAAATAAATAATATGAAGCCATAAGAATAGAAGCATTAAAAAACAATGCTGCTTCTGGCTTATCATTGAAAACTTCGCAGGGAAATGTTACAATTATTTTTAGGTTATGAAATGATTGCAAAGAAGCATCAAAATGTCTTAACAGTACCTCCTCTGCAATGTGACAAAATACTATTTTATGAAGAAACTGAGCATGCAAGCAAATTGTATAAAATCATAATAAAGAAGCACTGAAATATACAGAGTTGAAGCAATGTTTTTTTTACCTTATTACCAAAAGTGATCAAAACAGAATGTGCAATTTTTTCATGAATTAGAGACGTTGCAAAAAAACATTTTCAAAGGAACATTTCCATTCAAAAGAACGAAAGAAACATTTTCATCAACAAAAGGAACAATTCATATAACTGCACATCATCGCTTCTGCAATGGCCATATTACTATAACGTCGATGCAGGAATTATAAATTCTTACAAATGTTATGAAACATCTGAGCAGGACATCACAATATGAAAGGAGTCTCGAACATCATGAGTTAATCTTAAACATAATCATTAAAAGCTATTAAATCACGCGTACAATCTTCTTGAGCAACAACTGTATCTTCCAAAGTATCATCGCGAGATACTTTCTGTGGTGATACAGTTAGATGCATGCCTTTCCACAAAGTTCCGTTGAAAAGCTGAACAGCTTTTATAGCTTCTTCCTCACGCATAAATGTGACAAAGCCAGATGATTTAGTATGCTCACTGAATTGTCTTTCATTTCTCTCTGGCATGTAAACAGCTTTTACTGTCCCGGTGGTACAAAATAGCTGACGAAGATCTTTAAAAGACAATATGCCACTGTATGAAACATGCACAGTTTTTTTCTTTTGAGACAAGATTTGATCGTTGGAGATTTTTTTATCCTGAGCAAGAATTTCCTCCCAAAACTGGTTCTTTTTCTTGGCGCTACTTACACACAATCTCTGACCACTTTCAGTCATCAACCCATCCATGCTAAAAGCCATGCAAGCTCTTTCAGGAGTTTCGAACGTCACGACTCCGGAATTGAACGTCTCAGAGATTCTCAAATTCCGTATTGTACCAATTCGGGCGAAAAAATGTCTCAAAATACTTGGCGTTATCTTCTCTCCTCTCACTATCACAGACCTTGCTTGCGTGCTAGCGTTGGGTATGTATCCATCTTTAGCGCTTCTGCGAAAGACAAACACAAATGAAAAATTAGTGTTTAATACGAGTATAAATATTAAAAATAAGTTTTAGATATAAACACAATACACAAATTTGAAATTGTCATAAATCAATACTGGTTCTCTACGACTGATGAAGAAAATATCCTCCATCAATGGTTTTGCAATTAATGTTATTGAAAAAGAATTTCAGTTAGGTTAAAGTAAAAATTAGTTGAATTTAGTTTTAGATATCTAACTTTACCTTTTAAGTAAATAAAATAAAAAATTCCAAAAATTTTTTTTAGTTTATTAATTGAAAATTTATTTTGGACCATCACCTCTTCATCGGTATTTTATTATTGTATTTCCAAAAAAAATTGTTGAAATTAATCGAAAATTAATTTTGAATACCTAGCCTAGCATCACTTAGGTACACCCTTCTCACTGGTATTTTATCATAGTGCCATTAATTAGTCAAAAAAAAAAAAAAGAAGAAAAAGTTTTGTTGAAAATCAAGATAGAATTTTAGTGATAGACCTCCTCAACGATATCAGACGAATCGATAACTTCGTCGCCAGACTCAAAAGTCAGAAACTGCGCAACTTCCCATGTTAAAGTCGAAATTGATTTTATCTGGGAAACTGAATTTCGTAGAATAATAAAAGAAAAAAAAATACCATGGAAAAATATTGACTACATTTTTAAACAGAAAAAAATTTGCTTATCTAGGACTAAACACAACAGATAACAATTATTGAAATTTCCGAAAACGAAGTGGTCGGTAGAATTAAAATCCTTTTAACAAGTGGAATTTTGATCAGAGCGTCTGACCCAACGAAGCTATGAATCTAGAAGCGGATTAAAGTGTCTGATTTTTAATAGTGTTCCCTTTTTGTGATGCAGTGATCTTCTTCTACCTCGGCTATTGAAAACAAAATAAAAAATAATAATTATCAAAACTACATAAGTAACGGCAATTTATTTCTTGACTTCGGGAGGTTGTTGTTCCCAACCGCACTCCACTATTACGCCTTTGAAGAATGGGAAAAAAGGAATCTTCCCACAATTAACAATTTCTAAATACTTAATTGCAATTTAAAATTCCTGATCTTCTGTCACTGGTAATAGTAAATAAATAATTCAATAAACTAAAATAAAGTTATATTTAAGATGAGTAAAGCATAACCACTGTAACAGAAAATAGAGTAAGATATGGGATAGAAATTCTATATCAAAATAGACAAATCAAATTAGTTGGTTGGTGGTTGGTTCTAATGCCACTTGCCATACTAGCAAGCCTGCTTGGCGAAACCGAGCAGATTTAAGGCAGAGGGTGCGATTCTTGTTTTTCAGTGGCGCCATCTATGGCCAAGAATTCGACTTCTGCCACATCATACGTCACACCTGTTTATAAGACGGGCCCATTCATTCATCCACAGATCGTAATTTTGATCTGAATCAGAGAACGATCGATCTTCAATCCAGTACCCCGGCCGGAGATGGAAAAGGGACCAAAACGACAACGCGGGACTGAAACGATAATAGAACCAAAACCACAATAGAACCGAAACGGCAATGGAATAGAAACGGTGAGACTGAAATGTCAGGAAACGTAATCAAATCTTCAGCTGTTGTTCTTTCAATAAATTAATTAGTTACTCACTTTTTATAGCCGCTTTGTAATTCTTTACTTTGAGACGAAGGTTTCTTAAAGTTCTGAGTCTTACCCTCTTCATGCTTAATATTCTTGAGGTTAAGTAGTTCACCCTTTTTCTTCAAAATTTTAACGGCCTCTGTTTTAGATGCCTCCAGGTACTTCTTTTTATCATTAATTCCACTTTGAGGAATAATACTTTCCTGTTTAGTTTTCCTCCGTGAATTTACAGATTGCTTTAGTTTTCGCAACATTTCATACTTAGATTTCAACATCAATTCTTCCTGAGTATATTCTTTTGGAAATACCAAGTTCCATTTTGCGGACATTTACGTATCTTTTTTCCTGAAAAATCAATGACAGTACATTTGGATAACTGACATTCGAATGAAAACATAGTAGACGTTTAGATGACTAATTTTTGAAGAAAAAAAATCAAAGAGATTTGAACATGTGTTATCTAGATGATAAGTAAAATTTAAAGGATCTAAAACTCCTAGGAAATAAATCGAAGCTATCTAAATATATGAATATCACTAAATATATATTAGATAGGCATTTAAATATTTGATTGCAGCTTCAACCAATGTTTAACGACATAGCTTTGTAATTTTGAAGACAGCATAGAAGACATGGAATCTACTGAATCCAGTATTGTATATTAACATGGATATTAATTTTCCTTTTAATCATTTCAGTATGATGAAAAGTAAAATTTTCAATCATATTCAGCACATTTGAGTAACTGGTTTCGGAAAGATGAATGAAGGGCATTTCAATGTTGGAAAATCGAAATATGTAGATGCCATTTAGACATTTGGTTTCAACATCGATCAATATTAATTTAGACAGCTTTATAATTTTGACCTTAACAGAGAAGACATTAACAAAGATGAGACTGTCTATTGATCTAATTACAAGAAGTTTTTCATCTAGTATTAGAAGGCATCTAGTATAAAATATTTTAGACACAAATTAGTTTTTTTATTTTTTTTTTTTTTTTTTTTGAAATTGTGATGCTTGAAAACAGTTTCAAAAGAATTTTGCGCAAAATAATAATCACAATAATAACGTCTCTTTGTCCTTCAGATAATTTAACACAAATGTTTAAATTCAACTAATTAGTCAAGGAAATGCAAAGTAACAATTTTGAGGAAGCCTCCTTCCACCCCTAATTTATCATTTTTCACGAACGGTGGTGAAACCAATGCTTTAGATCTAAATTTAAAAAAATATATATATATCATGTAGAATGAAAATTTCAGGACATATGTGGTAATTTTCGGAAATTATGATGTCAATTCTCTGAATATGAAAATAATTTCCAATTAATCATGCAGTGTAAGATATTTGCCAAGTGTCATCAGTTATTATGAATTAATCAGACTCTACTAATCATAAGTAAATTTTTTTTAAAAATAGACAAGGAAACCAAAATAACAAAGTGGTAAAAATTGCTTAACCAAATATAGTTTTCCCTTCCTACATAGCGTATTTTGCTGTATACTATGGCCTTACTTAGTGGAGACGCCTTCTGAATATTTTTGTTTGTTAATTATATATAATTAACAAACAAAAACATTCTGGCATAACATAAACATAATATATTAATCTTCTTCAAGGATAAATACTAATATATTTTGGCTGCGTTGAAGTTTTGAGATATGCAGGTTTAAAAACGGTTAAACTTGCAAAAGCTAGCTCTATTGTTTTAACTCCTGGAAAACGTATTAGAGTTACCATATTAGTTCATGCGTAATTTGTGAAACAAAAGTTTGGCATGATGCTAAAATATAATCCTCAGTAAAAATTCAGAAGTTAGTCAAATTTTAGAAAATAGCTCACCGGACCCTTTTTTAACATTTTTGCTAACTTAAGTAATGTTCAGAGAATTTATAATGCTTGAAATTTGGTATGTAAGATTTTAATGTAAATCTGAAGTTTTAATGGAATTTAAAACCTTGTTTGTCGTAGCTCAATTGTCAATGTATTAGGATAAACAAACAAATTCACTGTCTAAATAGTGAAATTTAAACTCGTTGATTTTGCTTTCTAGAAATTTTTGATCTCAAAGTTTTTTTCTATGATCTCAAGACCACGAAAGACTTGAAGGAGGATGCAAGACACTGTATCACTGAAATACAGAAACAAATGAGCAAAAGATGCTTGTACCTGATAATATCCCCAATAGAATGCAAATGTGGTAGCAAAACTGAGGTCGGCCTTTATCAAATATATTGTTACACTACACTAAATGAAAAATGGGTACTTTTCAAGTGAAGAATTTAGACCACCACCAACGTTCTTTAATTTCTAATTAATTTTTTTTAAACTAATAAACATTAAATTTAATTAAAAAATTAATTAAATTAAAATTTTTTTTTTGAGATTTAATGCTTTTGTGATCAGCTAAGCAAAAAACACCGAAAATTGTCCTTTCAATGAAAAGATGTGTATTTTTGCACACTTTTGGCTGAATATAGCAAATATTTCGTTTACCACCTATCATTTACCTAATAATACACATTTTGTGATTGTCACTTGGTGACGATACGTATTTTAACAGCACACAAAAATAAATTACAGGCAAAGGATTAACTTCCCTTCTCATCGAGAGTTTTACCATCGGTAACTTCAAGCACTTGGGCAATCATGGTGACTTTAGTGACATGTTTGGCGACAAAAGCCTTTTCTTTCACCCTGAGGTTTCGAAGCTTTGTTACAGAACAGGAGTTGCGTTAGGAAACGGTATTCCGAGATCCGAGAATTCACTTGATGTAAAGCTATTGATCTTCAGCAAAAACAGTACGTGATGGACATTTTTGTTTTGAAGTATGAATCAGATTTTTTATTCTCAGAATCGCATAGTTTTATCTTTTATCTATGGAATAGCGTTGAAATTTCTCTACTCTATAACATCAAATATAGATTTCGGAATTACATTACATTTAAGTGAGCTAAATATGGTTATAAGGTTTTGTATGAGTAAATAATATTAAAATTAAGTAATCTACTACATAAAATTTGAGAATTGAAATCAAATAAATAACATACAAATTACTGAGTAAACTTACTTAAAACAAACTCTAGTGCAACAGATTGCGACGTATATGTTAAACTTATTAATGCGAAGATACGACGTTTACAACCTTTTACTAGTAAATGTCGTCACCTTATATCTTAATTATGGCTACAGGCTTTGCGTAGACTTGTAAAGTTCATTAGTAGATTCTAAATATTTTTCTATGAGAAAAGATTGTCTGTTTTTTTTAACTAACTTGAAGCTCACTTACCTAATTATATTTGTACAGAAATAAGAAAGTGCAAGTGACATAAAGCGTAATCTAACAAATCATAAAAGAAGTTTCAAAATTACGCATGACTTTGCCGACGAAATGACCTTATCTACAAATCGATCCAGTCGACGAAATGACACTGTCTGCGAAATGACCTTGTCGATGAAATTACCTGTCGATTAAATAACCTTGTCGATGAAACGGCATGGTCACGAATTGACTTTGTCGACGAAATGACCTGTCGTCGAAATAACCCTGTCGACGAAATGGCCTGCCGATTGTCGCTGAAATGAACGCGATTCATTTTATTCACATTTTATGGTTAAAGAAATCATAACGCGCATACTGAGGGAAATGCACTTAGAACACTTTAGTGATTTCTATTTCTTTTCCTTCCTTCTTCCTTTCGTTTCTTCTTTTTTTTCTCCTTAATTTGAAAAAAAAAAATCTTTTCTATTGCTATGCGCCTCGAAGTAATAAATTATGTTTTATTTTAATGTCTGCAGCAAGGGAAAAGGTTTCCATGCGTGGGCGTTTGAAGTAATGTGAATCTAGTTGAATAGCCGCAAAGCCCATAAGGTCAAGCAGGTGTTATAGAGATTATCATTATTATTTTTTTATTTCGATACCCGTCTACTCATCAGGGGGAAAAAAATATAGGCCTTGCATTTAACTCAGATGGAGAAAAAAAAAACCTTATAATTGCAATACACTTATTTTGTTTTTTAATTTTTGCTAGGGTAAATGAAGGTGTGTGCATTTGAAAGAGAACGTTAAACAAGTATTGTAGAAATAATCTTGTGCCTCGAGGCAAGATCCGTTAATTCGCTCGCTGTTTGAAATAACACGATTTTATCCAATTTTAATTTGGATTATACAGCAAAAATTTCCGAAAAACTTAGTTTATTGATTTTGTCTTACATAGTACATTCATCCTTCAGTCATCGATTAACATTACAACGTGCTGTAAAGAGAGGAATACATTTGACTAATTTAAAAAATAACTTTCAGGAATTACATCAAAAACAGCACATTTGTTTTTGAAAAAATACTTATTGCTGTTATTTATTAAATTTATCTACATAGTTTTAGCCACGCAAGTCGATCTTGATAATTCGAAAATGTTTCTATGGAAGTGTTAGGTGACATACAGAAGTAACCAAACATGATTTATTATTACATTCCACCTTAAATATATTATGCATACCGATAAATATACAAGTTTTCATTTTAATGCCAGAACACATAAAAAAGAGATGTGAGGAGAAAAGGTAAAACTCTCAAGAGAGTGATTTCAGCGCCACCCTACGGTAAAAAGCTTAACTGCTAGTTAGATAGATTTCTTTTATTACTTTTTATTGAATTTATGAAGTTATTTGTAATCGTTTGGTTATTCGCGATAGCAACGCTTGAGTACGCCCTCTAGTACGCTCCCTGAAAATATCAGGCGATTATTTATTAAGTTTTCATTTAGTTCTATCAGAATCATTGGCAGAGTCAGATGCCATTTTCTTAGCAGCAAATATAAGAAGCAAAATTTCCCTAAGGAAGAGGTAGAATAACTTGAAAAACTCTCCAGAGCATTGGTATATCTTTCAGAAACAGAACACGCCAAACATTTGAGGAAAAATTTCTCAAGTATTTTTAACTTCTATTATCAACAAACTTGCAACTGATAACTTCCGATTTTGGGATTGCATACTGTGACAGAAGTCAACATTTCTTACTTTATTTCAATGAATAAATATATGTTTTCAGAACGTGCAAAACTGCAATAGTTATAGAATATTCTTCTTCTTTATAGAATAGTATATATTTCTGTATCTATATAATTCGGAAAGCAACAGTAAAGAATCATCCGAATTATCCGGAATAGTATCATTTATGCTGATTATTAATAAATTTTTTATCGTTTTCTTGGTAAGTTTTTTTTTTTAGTTTCGAAAGAATAATTTCAACTAGAATTCAGCTATTCTAATTTTAAGCTACATATTAAAATTCATATCGAGATCTTACAATTATAAAATTTTGCTGTGTGGTATGTTATCTAAAAGTAATGAACGGATGATCTATGTATATATTATTTGAAAATAAAATTTTCTAACGAA